TCTTTTTTCTTTTTTTCACAGTTGCATTGTGTTGCAAAGTGTGAAGGACCCATGGAGTCTTTAACCTCTTCCTTACTGATGGAATGTAAGCTGTTTCCAATCTTTTGCTATAACAAACAATGATATAATGAATAACCTAAAATACAAAAGGGAAGATTATTTTAGACTAGTACATAATAAGAGTAGATTAGAGCGCTAAATAAGGACTGTCTGGCAGGTAGCTGAGGCAAGAGTCTCTTTCTGGGACTGCAGAGTAAGGGGGTTATGAGGACACTGCAATCAATTTAATGTGTAATGAATGACAAGGAGATCTGTCCAAGAACAATTTTTTCTTGGATTAGTTTTTTCCAGGTGGGATAAATAGAAGTCTCTGAAAAGGCCAGGCACAGTAGATCACACCTGTAATCCCAGCTCTTTGGGAGTCTGAGGCAGGAGGACTGCTTTGAGTCTGGAGTTCCAGACCAGCCTAGGCCACTTAGTGAGAACTCGTCTTTACAAAAATAAATAAATAAATAAATAAGCTGGGTGTGGTGGCACATGCTGAGCTATTCAGGAGGCTGAGGCGGAAGGGTCACCTTAGCCCAGGAGGTCATGGCTGTAGTGAGCTGTGACCGTGACACTGCACTCCAGCCTGGGTGACAGAGTGAGAGCCCAACTCAAGAAGAAAAGACTTTGGAGAGAACAATATCAAATAGGGAGACTCACCAGTACACAGCCCTAGGTCCTTAAGATGTTTTGAGTGTTTGGAAAATAACATTCAGCTTTTTTGAAGATAATGGTCAAAAAAGCTTATTCTTGGCCACTTCCCCATATCCCAACAACTTTTTGATTAAAGATAAAAAAGACTACATGCCTGATAAGGCTCTGGCAATCTAAACAGATGTAGCACAGCAGACATTGTTGATGGTCGACCCAACATCCATCCCCCTTTATTTCTGCTGGCATGGTCCTGCCTTTGTCAGGTAGTCCCCTCCACTATGTGGCATAGACTGGCTTCATTCCCATCTGAGGTAGAATCTGATTAGTCTTAATCAATCATGGTGGCAACATGCCCTATGAAGATGCTTGGCTGAGGTATTTGCATATGACCCAATTTTGGTCAATGACACTGGAAGACAATGACACTGGAATCTGTCTAGCGAGCTTGTCTAGAGCAGGGGAGGCTTGTGGGAGAGCAGTTAGAGTCATGGCCCTCTTTATTTGTGTGCCAAGAGGCGGTATCGCAAATGTCTGCTCAGTTCTCTTGGTCTTGCCAGACTGGGGAACAGAATCATCCCTGCCCTAACCCAGTCACAGCGACTGCACAGGTATCTAAGAATGCAAGGGCTGGGTAGAACAGCAAGCACCTGGGCAGGTACTCTTTCAAAAATGTTAAGTAATTGTTTAACATATGGAGTTGGGGAGTCAGATTTTTCTACTAATACTTTGTTTACTAGAAACAAATTACCTGGGATTCATTTTCACTAACTGAAGCAGAGTCCATATTCTGAAAACATCAATCATTTTACTGTTCCTGTAGTTCTCCTTTCAAGCTGTCTTTCACAATTTTTTGGAACCAGACAAGTTCCGTAGAGGCACACTGAAGGGCCTATAATTCAGGTAACACAAAAGTTCACAGTTATCAGCTACACAGACCTACTCACACATACTTGGTTTTGAGATCCCTGTTCTGCTGATTTTTATTTTTGGGCTACTGCTTGTGGATATTGAAAAAAAAAATCACCAGGAATATATATAGGTCTGCTTTGGAAATGAGGTTTTTATTTTGTTTTGTTTTGTTTTTTATTTCACCTCAAAGGCAGTAGTTTGAAGAGGGTCAATTTGTTCCAGTGATAAGCATCACTTTATGGAGCAGCATACCACAATAGATAAATTGGTTGCTCATCCCTTGTTGTAGCTCTGGGTCACAGACTAAATACAAGATAACCACTAAGAGAGTAAAACACAAACTGCCATGGAACACAAAAACAAAACAAAAACAATGCTTTGTATGGCTGTTTAGAAGGTGGTCTGCATAAGGAGAGAAAGCACGAGTTTTAGAGCAGGCCCAGCTACTTAACTGGAGCACCCAGCACAAAACTGAAAATGTGGGGCTTCTTGTTAAAAACAATTACTAAGAATCTCAAGACAGCAATAGTGAGCATTAAACCAAGTGTGGGAGCCCTGTGTAGGTGGCACAGCCATGAAGCTAGCCTGCCTGGGGCCTTGGGTTCATTCCTGAGTCTACATATCCTCCCGGCTTTGGAAGCCTCTCAGAGTCTCACTTTCTTCATCTGTAAAATAGCGATAAGTGAACCTCGCTTGAAGAGTTGTTATGAGGATGAAATGAAAAGCATTTTGCACGTGTAGATGCATATTCCTCCTTGTGTCGTGGGCTCTTCCTCAGTCGTTCCATGCATCAGTCTTGGCCTTCTATTCTCATTTCCCACTTTCCTTTTAAAAATCTTTCAAAAGGTATTATAATGAACCTTATAAAATGGCCCACAACCGAGCATTTAGGTTTACAAAACAGCAAATACGGATCAATCTTATACAAACTCCTTAGCGTAGCTGGGCACGAACCGTCCTTAGACCGGGGCAATCGAGCCTCTGCCCTTACGCCCAAATATTAGGGGACAAGCGCCCCTACCCGACCCACCCGCGCCGTCCTCCGGACGCACCCCTTCCCACCAAGCGAGGAGTCCTCGGAGTCAAGTTCCCTTCTAGACCACACTCCAGAACCCGAGACCCCGGGATTCCTACCCAAATGACTCTCAGTCCGCTTCCAGAACCGCCCGGCCTCTGCCCAGAGAACTCCCCGCAAGGTGAGAGCAAAACTGGAGCCCTAGGACCACCAACGGCAGGCAGCACTAGGTGGGTGGGCGGAGCTGGGACGCACAGCTTGTGGGAGGGAAAGGGAGGAGGGACGCTGTCGGCACGCATGCGCACCAGGCCCCTCGCCAAGTCGTCCGAACATGGGTGAGAAGAGTAGTAGAACTGAGTCGGTGGTTTCTATTTGCACGTTTGCCCTTCCTCTCGCGTCTCCTACACCCCATGTAACGGGCCAGCCTGGCTTCCCAGACCCCTATATTCCGGCTTCAGTCGACTCTTCCAGCTTTATCTGTAAATACGCTTCTCTGCACCGCTTCTACTACTTTGATTTCCTAAAGTATTCTGGGCTTGTTAAAATATCTCTATGCCTTCTGCACGACGTTCTCTCACTCCTTCTCCCTTTTCTCCACCTGAAGAAATTCTGCTCCCGTCTTAGTCATCCCTGTGAGTCCGCCCTGCCATCCCAACCCTTAGCCCTAGGCGGAGTTAGATGCTGCGTGTGTGTGTGTGTGTGTGTGTGTGTGTGTGTGTGTGTGTGTGTGTTTCCTCCTGTGACCTAGACTAGACTGCGTGGGGGCTTCTCCAGGGCCGGAAGCGTGCTTCTTTTTTGATGTTTATTCTCAGTGCCTACCCCAGGACCTAGTACTAGAAGTAAAAAATTATCTTTCAGTGTGGAGTAGTCATCAAAATCCCTGCTCCGCCAGAGACCAAGTGGCCTTAAGCAAATTACTGAAACACAGTAATTATTCTTTAAAATGAAAATGAATATGATTTCCTTCTTGAATAGTCTTAAGGATTAAAATAAGACAATTCACATTGCTTCAGCGCACTGATAAATACTATGCACTCAATAATGGGTAACCATGATTAAATTAGCTCCTGTATTCTGATTCTTGATAACCTGTAAGGGGAAATAAATATTCCTTTAAAACTGGCGGCATGATTTCTATTTTGATGAGAAAAATTTGTATTTAATGGGCTTAAAAATTACCTGAAGTAAGGTAATACTTGCTTGGAAATGGTTTATTAAAAAGGCATCAAGGACAGGCTCAGTGATTCAGCCTGTAATCCCAGCCCTTTGGGAGGCCGAGACAAATAGATTGCCTGAGCCCGCGGGTTCGAAACCAGCCCGGGCTACTTGGTAAGACTTCATCTATACAATAAGTAAAAAATGAACCAGGCATGGAAGCGCATTCCTGTAGTTCCAGCTATTAGGAAGAATGAGGAAGAAGGATTGCTGGAGCCCAGCAGGTCGACACTGGTGGCCATGATTGTGCCACTGCACTTCAACCTGAGCAACAGAGTGAGACTCCAACTCAAAAAAAGGGGGGGGCACCAAGTAATAATTTTTAGTAAATCCAATTCATTATGTAACTCTTGGCGGTCTTGGCAGCAAATGGGTGAGAAAAATAAAATCTATTTTGGGAGGCATTTATTATAATCTTTATATATCAATAACTAAATATAGGGAAATAAGAAAATATAAAGTATACTTTTATAACTATCTTTAAGAACTTTACTTCTTTAAGAGCTTTAAATAAATATATATAACTATCATGTTTTTATAACTTTTCTTGCAAAATTTAGATATTACTACAAAATGCTGTAAGTATGTATATACACATTCAGCTTAGATTTTTTTTTTAAGTTAGTTACGAAAAAAGCCCATAGAAATGAAAAACAACTGCTACACGTTACTGTATGGGTCATACACAGTCTGTTATGTCTTGTTATGCTAAATTGAGGCTTTTGTTTATTAGCATATTGTGCAATATTAAATGTAACTACTGATATTTGCATTCTTGCACATCTACCTTTAAGGAGAAAAACCAAGAAAATGAAATGTGATGCAAACTTGCAGGAAAAATAAAAATTGGTTGATATAACTTATTTGTATCTTATAAAGTTGGCCTACTTTGTTAAAGAACTTAATGCTCTCAATCTTTGTTTTCCAAGCTAATACAAAATAAAGGGAGACTATAAGCCTACCTATCTACAATGGTTAGTTGTATTAGTTTTTTTTACATTACCACATCTCATTGCCACTTTAGATTCACTTAGATCATAGAAGCCGCTAACTTAAAATCTTAAGATATATAAAGATATCTAAGGTTGAGTATGCATAAGTTAATGGAGTGGGGGGATATACTGCTAGCAAATTAGGAAGATTTCAAAGGCACAGAAGGAAATCTGGTAAATTTTGTGTATTCCAGGTGGTAGAAAGGAAAATTAGTGTTAGTTTTACAATAGTAACAACAAGAATATCATAGTAAAGTAGCTTTTAAGTTGTCTTTTGCGCTTAAAAGTACAATAAATGGGATATCATCTTTACTTTTGCCATACTGCTAAGGCACAAATATTTGCATTCTAAATTGGAAGCCAGAGAAAGCAGCAGCTTCTTTACGGAAAGAGGTGGCGAAGTTTGACGTTGAGTTCTCTCTCCTTGCTTAAAAGATCCAGGCTGTGCTTTTTGAAAGCTTCAGACTGCAGTCTGAGTTCGTCATAGGCATTCTGGATTCCCTCCACTTTATGCTGAAGCTCCCGGACTCTCAAATTGCTGTCCACAGCCATTGCCTCTTGCTCAAACCGCTCTAGCGCGTGCCTCCTGGCCACATCTGCTGCCTCCAACTTTTCCTCTAGCTGGCGGATCTCTGCTTGTTTGTTCTGAAGCACCTTGCCCCTTTCCATGGACAGCTGCAGCAGCTCCTCTTTCTCCCCAGTAACGGTCCGCAGCCTGGCCTGCAGCTCCTGGCTCAAGTTGCTGTGCGCCTCCTCGGCCTTCGCCATCTGCTCCACCGCCTGCTGGTGCTGCAGCTTGAGGTTCTGCAGCTGACTGCGCAACTGTTCTGTCTCCTCGGCGTGGGCGCAGGCCTGCTGACTCTGTAGCTCCAGCAGCTCCCGCTCGCGGGCCAGTGCCTGGCAGGAATCCTGAGCACACCTCTGTTGCAGAGTCTCCAGCTCCCTGGTGAGGGCCTCACTCTGGGCGGTAAGCTGCAAAACTTTGGCTTCCCCATCCTTCAGGGCCTGGCTGAAGAGGCTGCTGTTCTCCAACCTCAGCTTCTCATTCTCCTCCCTCAGCTTTACGTTCTGACACTTGTGTTCATCCTTGAAGTGGATCATCAACTCGTGGTTGGCTGCTAGGGTTAGGAAGCGCTCCTCTAACTTCTGGGCATGCTCACATTGGGCCTTGAGCTTCTCAGCCTCCTGCATCCTCTTCTCCTCCAGCTCTGCATTGAGCAGCTCCAGGATCTGGCAGCGCTCAAGGGCCTCATCCGACCTCCGCTTCAGGATGCAGATGAGCTGTGACTGCTCTTGGATGCGTGAGCGAAGCATTGCCTTCTCACCTTTCTCCTCCTCTGACAGTCCTCGGAGATTTGCTAAGGCTTCCCTCAGACCATCTAGTTCCTTAAACTCCACCTCCTCTTCTGGGTTGTTCAGTTCTCCATTTTGCTTATCTAAGGGTCCTTTAGAGTGTGAGATGTCCATCCTGAGAGCCTGCTCTTTCTGAGACATAGGGCACTCTCCTCCACTAGGCAGACTATAGTCTTTCCACCTCAGATTTCAAAAACCGCAGAGCGTTACTAGGGACTCTTGGCACTCTCCAGCAGATGGTTTTTCCAGTAAGGAGCCCTGCAATTGGTAGACAGGTCTTTAGAATGCGTGAAGTAACAATAGAAAACTCCAGGGTCCATCTACTCAGGTTACTTGTGCCTTTCTAACCAATCGTAGTTCTCAGTTGTCAACCGCCTCAGTGTCTGGTCCGTACAGCAGAGATGCCAACCCCACTCTAGCTTGCATCAGTGGAGGAAACCTGACTCCACCTGATTCCTGGTAGGAGTAAACAAATTAAACAGGCAGTGACATACTACTACTCCTCCTCCCTTCTTCAGTTGTCATGAGAATAAATTACTGACTGTGAGAAGACAGTTGACTCCTCAAAAATTTGCAATCTATGAATACAAAGTATCTGTGGTACTCTGAGAGCCATTTGGCTGTAAGTCTGTACTTGTAGTGTTGGGCACGGCTCATTTTTTATGTTTAAGTATTGAAACTGAAAACTCCAATGACATTCCTTTTGTTTCTTTAGCATTGTCCCACTGAAAATATATACTCTCTGTTAGATATTCAGCACTCCCTGTTTTTACCGATTAGCAAAATAAGGTTACAGAAAGAAGCTTAATGAACCACAGATGTGATAAACATTAAAACAGAAAAAAAATCCAAATAAGGCTTACCATTATTTACTGAAGTCAACTCAATTAATTAGTTAAATGTAAAGTAAAACAAAATCAAAGTATTAAAAATGGAAACTATCTTCTAATAAAGGTAAGCATCAAATCTCTGGGTCAGGAAGGATTTTCTTAGCTTAGGCATTATATAAGAGATCAGAAGGGAAAAGTTTAATCAACTAGATTTCATTGAAAATCTCCAGTTACGTATAATTCTTAAAATTATATGACCTCAATCTCTCTACCCTCTCCTTTCTCTGGGCTTATCTGATATTTTACTCTAGTCAAACCCGACTACTGAAGTTGCCCTAACCAACCAGTTATCTGGCCTTGTCTTTAGGTGTTCCTCTGCCTGAAATGCCTTTTCTCACCTTTCTCTTGTTGCTCTAGTAATTTACTCAGGTTTTTATGCTTAGTTAAGAATCATCTCCTCTTTGAAGCCTTTTCCTGGCCCCTATATGTAGCATTGACCACTCCCCTCACATACACTATAACCTTTTTGTACTTCTAGTGGAGGATGTAAACACTTTATTGCAATCAGTTGTTTACCTGCCTTCCTCCCCCATTAGACTTTTTTTTTTTTTTTTTTTTGAGTTGGAGTCTCACTCTGTCGCCCAGACGGGAGTGCAGTGGCCCCTCCCGGCCACCGCAGCCTCGACCTGCTGGGCTCTGGCGATCCTTCTGCCTCAGCCTTCCAAGTAGCCGGAATTACAGGCATGCGCTACCACACCCGGCTGATTTTTTGATTTATTGTAGAGATGAGGTCTCGCTGCCCAGGTGGGTCTCGAACCCACGGGCTCAGGCAATCCACTCACCTCAGCCTCCCAAAGGCGTGGGATTACCGGCTGAGCCACCGAGTCCGGCTCCCTATTAGATTATGAAAGGCAGAGACTGTGTCTGCTTCATCCTTGATGAATAGACTAGGACCTGGCACTTTAGGGAGACTCAGATATATGTGTGTTAAATAGATGTTGAAGGCAAAAATCAATTGGAAAAAAATCCGTAATATGACAGACACTAGATTTATATTTTTATAAAAAGCTTATACTTATCAATAAAACATTAACATCTTAAAACAGAAATGAATCATTGAATGCACAAAGGAACAAAAATGACCAAGATTAAACCTCAACAATGATCCAATACATACAAGTTAAAATTAGATATAGTTTCATGTAGCAAATCAGTAAAAAATATTTTCCCTTATTTTGAGACTACCCAGGACTGGTAAGAGTGTAGTAAAATAGGCACTCTCTCATACTGTTGATAAAAGTCAGGTGACAGTATGTATTGAGAACTTAAAGTACTGTTAAGCCTTTTAAACGAGTAATTGCACTTCTGGGGAGATCTTTGCTTGGGAAATGATCTGAAAGAAAACATTTTGCTCAAAACTTTTCATTGTGGTGTGATTGATAATAAATTAAAGTTGGAAACCTAAATGTCTAAAATGGAAATGTTAAGAAAATTATCATATTTTCATACAACAGAATACTATGCAACTGTTAAACATTATCATATTTGTAGGTAATTTTTAATGGTATGGGGAATGCCTATGTTAGAAAGATAACTGGAAAAAGCAAGATGCTGTGAAAATTAAGGGTAGAGAAAAGGATTGTCTATTCCTGTGATCACTATTTCTGGTGATCAGTCTTGATATCTCCCAAGTCATGATGATAAGGAAAAAGCCTGGTGTTATTGTAGATACTGGATGGATTTTTATATGCTTCAGATTTCTTTGGGAGAAAAACATATCTGGAAGAAGAGTTTCAGATTTTCCCTTCACTGTCAAAGATCAGGGTCTCGTGTCCCAAATCTTGAATCTCTTGTTTTTACAAGGAAAACAAGATTGAGGGCTAGGGAAATATTCTAAACTGAAATTTCAAGTTACTTAAATGATCAGATATTGAAGTTCTGTGAAAGTGGGTTTCAAAGACTTTAAAAATATGAATTAAACTTATAATTTGTTTTACATTTTCTTCTTTGCTTTTTCTTAAATTTCAAGCTTCATATGTCTACATGGAACTTGTAAAGTTAAGACAAATGACTAGAAAATTAAAATAGTCTTCACTTAAATAAAAGGGTCATACAAACATTAAAAATTTTATTTGTAGGTTACCTTATATTGTTGTCTAGTGTAGTAAATTCACAAAATATAATTCCTAAACAAGGAAAAGAAGGAAAAATAAGATATTAATAGCTGTTGTTTCTTGAGGATGAGATTATGCATGCATGCTCTTCTGTCCCTATTTCTACCTTTTTGTTTTGTTTTATTTTGAGTAGGAGTCTCACTGTGTTGCCCAGGCTGGAGTGCAGTGGAATGCTCACAGCCACTGCAGCCTCGACCTTCTGGACTCGGGTGATCCTTCTGCTTCAGCCTTCCAAGTAGCTGGAACCACAGGTGTGCACCACCGCACCCAGCTAATTTTTTATTTATTGTAAAGACGAGGTCTCACCAAGTTGCCCAGGTTTGTCTCAAACCCCTGGGCTCAGGCAATCCTCTCACCTCCACCTCCCAAAGTGCTGAGTTTAAAGGCATGAGCCACCGTGCCAGGTCTATTTCTAACTTTCTGTTTCTTGCACATGGTGGATGCTCAATGATATTTGTTGATTAAATAAATTGACTTTCCACATTTTAAAAAGTTTATATATCTCTCATATTAAAATACATTTTAATATCTAAATTTAAATTTAGTGCTGGGCATAGTGGCACATGACTATAGTCTCAGTTACTCAGGAGGCTGAGGCAGGAGGATTGCTTGAGCCCAGGAGTTCATGATCAATCTGGGCAGCATAGCAAGACCTTGTCTCAAATTTTTTTAAAATTATATTTAGATATTTTAAATATACCAAAGGCAATCTACAGATTCAATGCAATGCCCATTACATTACCCACATCATTCTTCTCAGACCTGAAAATGACAATACAGAAATTCATGTGGAAACATAAACGACCACAAATAGTCAAAACCATCCTTAGCAAAAGAAAGAAAGCAGGAGGTATCACTTCCAGACTTCAAACTTTACTATAAACCTACCATAATCAAAACAGCCTGGTATTGGTACAAGAACAGGCATGTAGACCAATGGAACAGGATAGAGATTCCAGAAACAAAGACTCAATTTCTCAACCAACTCATCTTTGACAAACATCCAACAACAAACACTGGGGAGAGGAGTAAATGGTGCTGGGGAAACTAGCTAGTCACATACAGAAGATTGAAACAGGACCCCTACCTATCACCATACTAAAAAATTAACTATAAATGGATCAAAGACCTAAATGTAAAACCTCAAACTATAAGAATCTTAGAAAATGCAGGAGACACCCTATGGAAATTGGAACTGGAAATCAATTCCTGATCAAAACCATAAATGCTCATACCATAAGAGAGAAGATAGACAAGTGGGACCTCATCAAACTGATGAGCTTCTGCAAAGCAAAGGAAACCATCAAGAGAGCAGGGAGACAGCCCACAGAATGGGAAAGAATATCTGCCAACTGTATATCTGGCAAAGGCCTAACATCTAGGATCTACAAGGAATTCAAACATGCCAAAAAGAAAAAAACAAACAGCCCCATTAAAAAGTGGGCAAAAGACATGAATAGACACTTCTCAAAAGAAGATATATGGGTAACCAATAGACATGAGAAAGTGCTCAGCCTCACTAATCATCAGAGAAATGCAAATCAAAACCACATTGAGACATCACCCAACCCCCGTAAGAATGACCATCATTAATAAAACACACAACAGATGCTGGCGAGGATCCAGAGAAAAAGGAATGCTTCTACACTGCCGGTGGGAATGCAAACTAGTGCAAACTCTTTGGAAGACAGCATGGCGATTTCTGAAAGAACTAGAAATTGACCTTCCATATGACCCAGCAATCCCCCTATTGGGAATATACCCAGAGGAACTCAAGTCATTCTGCCAAAAAGACACCCATACATGCATGTTTGTTGCAGCTCTATTCACAAAAGCAAAAACATGGAACCAACCATGCTGCCCATCAAAGCTAGACTGGATTAAAAAATTGTGGTACATATACACAATGGAATATTTTACAGTCATAAAGAAGGATAAACATATGGACTTCACAGCAACTTGGATGTATTTAGAGTCTATCATACTCAGTGATCTATCTCAGAATCAAAGAATAGAGTACCATATATTCTCATTCATAAACGGACCTTGAACAAGTATCATAATACTATAAGAAAGGGATGACAATAGTGAGAAACTGTCAGGGGAGGGGGGTTGGGATTGGCAGTTGAGGGAAACTGCCAGGGGAGAGGAGGCACAATCTCCTCAGTGAGGGTACCTGCATAATGAACATTTGTATTCCTAACCCTGAAATGTACCCACATCTTTAAAATAAAATATAAATAAATATAGATGAGCTTAAAAAAAAAAAAAGGTAGGTATTATTACCCACATTTTATAGTTTACAGGGAGCAAAGAAACCAAGGATCAGAGAGGTTATGCAAGTTGTCTCAGGTCACCCAGAGAATAAGTGATAGAGCCAGGATTCAAATCCAGACCTTTTTGATACCAAAACCGATGATCTTAGATCACATTTCATTTGTTTATTTGATCATTAATTCATTCATTCATCACATATTCTCACACAGACTGAGAAACTATTATACCCAAGGTTGCAGTCCCAGCTTTCAAGATCACTATGGGAGAAGAAAAAAAAATAGATAACAACAATTCAGTGTGATGATTGCTAAAGTAATCATAGATAAATTAGACATCACTCTTTTCAAGAATACAGTGATAAGATCTGGGTGTTATTGAAAGCACAAAGAAGGAGTACAAAACTAGCCTTGGATAAAAGGGGCATAGTATTCAAGATTATTTTGATAGGAACTCAATTCAATCTAGCTAAGCAAGTGGAAATATAATAATATTTTAGCTCACAGAAAGAGCACTGAGGGAGCACATAGAGTCAAAGTAGGAGTGACAGGAACTAGGTAGTCCCTCGAAAACTAAACCTGCAGATGCAAAGACACAAGGACTCTTTATTTCTCCATCCATGTCTCGTCTCTATTGCAGACAGGGTGGATATGTAATTTTTCTCCAATCATAGTCAGCAACAAATAAGAGCTGGGTAGTTCAGTTGCATTTATGTAGGACTGGGGTCTATAATAGTGCTGGTGAATGGATATTTAGTGGAAAGCAAAGGAAGCAGAAAATGTTGAGGCTATTGGCAAAAGAGTGGTTGACTAGGTAGAGGAGTAATAATGGGAAGTGTTTGATAGGGGCTGGAGGGGCTGGGTCCTCAGTGAGTTTTAGAAATAGATGTTGCAAAATAATCAACTGAAAGCTGAAATAATAGAAATTTTTGGTCAGGGTGGGATGTTTGGATTTCAGAGGTAGAAGTTCCCAGTTTTAATGAGGTTCATGAGTACATGGAGGTTAAGGGCATTCAAAGTGAGGAAGTCAAGGAATTGAGAAGTTAAGGTGTTTGATGAACGTAAATATGCTTTGGAACCAGGTGACAGGGTCTCCAATAAATAAGATGAGTTGTGGAGGATGGTAGGTGACCACAAAAAGAAGTGGAGGGGATAATCATAATAGCAAATATTTACAGAATGGTCTTTGTCAAGGATAAGCATCATATCGATTTATTTATTTTCACCTATAGAGTAGGTACAATACCCCCCTCCCTGCCTTTATTTTTAACAGATGAGACAGAAGTTAAATAACTTACCCTAGGTCTCACAACTACTGAGTGGTTTAACCAATATTCAAATCCAAGCCATCTGGTTCTGGAGGTCACAATCATTATACTCTTTTCCCTTCTTGATGTACCTGGATGGCACATGTCCTTAAAAATATTTACAGGGAGGCAGAGGAACAATAATCCAAAATCTGTTCCTATATCATGACCTAGGTACTGGGTGTGGGAGACTGAGTCTTCTTTTTGTAAGGCTGAAAGAGAACCAAATATTTTGGAACAGGCCAACCCAAGAAGCAGAGAGAGTGTTTTATGACTAGATCAAGTATGCAGAGTGATTTGTTTTATAAAAAACAAACTAGTGAATATGCCTGGGAGAAAGTGGAGATGAGAGGAGATGGGAGAGCAATCTCAAAGCAGAATGGGAATGAGAGTACAGGAGAAAGATGATGTTTGGAGTTGTTTGCTTGACTGGTAAGTATGGGTGTCAGGGATATGCAAAAAAAACAAAAAAAAAAACAAAAAAAGTCCCAGCAAGTTCCCTGGAAAATATAACAGGAGGTTGAGGGGGCTGGTAGGCCTCTCTGGAAGAAGTTAGCCTAGCCAAGTCATGTGAGCAGACCATGGAACTCCCAGGATCCGTATCATCTACTTAAAAGCTACAGTAGCCTTGGTAGATGGGGATTAGTTAGGCCTCTCTGAAACGAGTCAGCGGTGACCCCTAGAAATATTACTTCACTTTTTAAATAATGAAATTTTGTAATATCTTCATATGAGAAAGACATAAATTGCATGTACGCCTAGCCCTTGATTTCCTCAGTCTCCATAGCTATATAACACCCCATACTTTTGATAATGGATCATTCCCCCTCAGCCACAGGATGAATACGTTACCCAGGCTGGGTCATTGAAATTGCCCCATCCACTCCTGGCCACAGTGAGTGGTCCAATGGGTGGGGATGTGACACAAACCTTGCCAATTTCCTCCAGAGGCCTCGCAAACTGACCCTAGGAAAGGGGAGTGATTTAGAGACAGACTGTGACAAAGGAGCTGGCTGAGATGCTATTCCTCACTCTGAGGAAGAAGAGAGACAGCATGTGAGTCCGTGGTTCCAGCCTGAGAGTCCACAAAGTAATCTAGGTTCCTGCCATGCTTTAATTCTGTGGGCTAACTCAGTTTAGTTTCAATTCATTCCTTTCCCCACCTTTCTTTCTTTTTAAAAAAAGCTTATTTCCAGTTGGGTTTCTGAGAAAAAAAAAAACTGAAAAGAAAAAAGCCCTAAAACATGCAGTCCAAGAAAATCTGAAGTTTTAGCAGAGTCTTTTCCTAAAAGTCACACTGTCCCAAAAGCCTGTCAACCTGAGTTCACAAAAGAATTCAGGTTGCCTACATGTTATAATGCATGAAGCCCACTCTTAGCCAGGTGAGATTAAATTTATAACGTGTACTTTCTTTTTCAGTAAGAAGCATGACATAAAATCTCCTTAGACTGCCTGAAGAAGAACTGAGGGAAGAGCTGAGGATACATGTAAGGAGAATGGGTGGTTCTATTGTCTGCTCTGGTGTTTTAAAGGTGATCTGGAGATGGAGACATGCCAGAGCCAACCTTATTAGCACTCCAGAGCTGGCTGGATGCTAGAAGGTGATTGAACAGGTAACTGAAAGAAGAGCTGAGAAAGTAGCTTGTACTTTCTGGCGCAAGTCAGAATAGAGTTTGCACTTCTGTTACTGTGTTTTAGCCGACCTTGAAAGTGTGCCTTTACTTGGCTCATACTGTGCTTCCCCAAGAAGAGGGGAGAGAGACTAAGCACTTCCCATAAAAGACCTGCAGAGACAATGGCAAGGGCATAGTCATTCTTACTGGCAATTTGGTAGAAGATTCTAGTATCTGTTTGAGGAAAGAGGCAAACACTCTAGTTGTTCTCAATGACATTTCTTAGATGCTTGTTGTAAGATCTGGTGTTCACCTATCAGCCAGGTTTCCTTGGACCTAGAATATATCAGAGTCTGCTTTGAGAAAGGCAAGCTGGTTGGGTTCTAAGGGAGAGTAATGCTTCATGTACTAAAATCATCCCCAAAAGTTTCTGAGGAAAACCTTTAAAGGATAAATGTTAACCTATATTCAAAGCTTTTCAACTAATTTTTTAAAAAGAAAAATATTATTCTTAATAACATAGCCAGAGCTGTCCATTTAGGGAAAATGATGCTCAGTGAAGACTCTAGAGAAATATTAGCCCAGTAGAAGTTAATTAGCCTTGATAGGAAATTCAGATCTTAGGAATCCTGAAATATTTTGTTCGAAATAAGAAGTCAAGATAATTTTTCAATGCAATTTTAATCAGATTATAATTTATTCTAAGAGTTTTTACAAAATACTTTATGAAAATTATACATACATAGGAAGTACAGTATAACTGAACAACTTACATTCTAATTAAAGCTTTGTTGCAAAATATGTTTATGACTACTCTTATGCTGCTTTCATATATTTGTTCATATAGTAAAGTTATAAGAAAAACAATCATATATACGCAGGGTTTTTTTTATACATACTCTTACAAAGTACAGGCTTGAAACCTATTTTATTAACAGAAGAATGTCAAAACAAACCAAGGACTAAATTCCACCTATGGACAGTGGGTGGCACCAAAGTACATTTGAGGCTTTCATTTCAACACTTGGGAAAAGAGAAAGCAGTTTCTCAAGGCAGGAAAACACCAGTAAGTTCTGTCTCATTGCCCTAACATGGAATTTCACATTTTAGTAGAGATCACAGAGCAAATAGTTTTTTTATGGTCCAATTATGTATCATCACTGATGTTCTGCCTCAATGCCCCCTTCCCCCTTCAGAATATCTTTCTGTTACTTTTTCCTCAACCTATATTATTTACAAGTCCTGCAAGGCTCAAGTGACAGACCCTCTTAACTGTAGCACAGGATAGTGGTGTGAAACACATGATGACAAACTGGAATACTTTACTCTTTAACACTACCCCATGTTTAATATTTTGAGACATCTTTTTTGTTGAAGCGGCAGCAGCAGTTCCATTTTTCTGGGCCTGCACAGATATCTTCTTTAATGTTAGAGTCATAAGTAAGTCACATATTTTGTCATTATTTAAATGCCTTGGACCTCGTAATCAAAGAAGCACATGCAGGTTGACTTTTACATGCTATGTAATATTCTTTATTTGCAATATATAGAAATTGAGGATTTTTGTCCATGTGATCAGGTTTTCAAGATCAGATTCCAGCTGTTTAGTAGTTTTCGGTAGAGGATCCAGTGGACTTTGGGCTCATTTGGCAATCTTGGCAATCACAAGCATTCTGAGAGGCAGTGTCGCTTCAATCCAGCTATTGGGGGAATTTACCATCTTTTCCCAGAGAGCAACTTCCTCTGACGTAGAGTCCATCCAATCCACTTCAGTCCCATAGCTTTTACCTGAAAAAAAGGAAGTTTTGCATTTAGAAATAAATAGCTAATCAGGGGGAAAAAAAACTATGTGTGTGGGAGCTAATTCCAAATCATAAGCACCAGTGGAAGAGAGCTTGGAAGAGTTTTAACATCATTGGGAGGGAAGATGTGTAACTCAATGTGGGGGAAGAGAGGACAAAAAACCTGGAATTTATAAAAAATTGTGTATTTATTCTTGTATGTTTAAACTTTAGCCACCTTCAAAGTACTCTTTGTTTGATGCAATACACCTATCAAGATGCTTTTCCCGCTGCCTAAAACAGTATTTTCCTTTATTTTATTGTAAAGATGTAGGCTTAAAACAGTTTTTGAACTTGTCAATTTTGATGCCCTTTAGTGCTTCTGTCATTTTTTGTTTCACCTCTTCCATATCAGCAAAATGTTTCCTTTTAAGAATTTTTTCATAGGGGAGACCCCAAAAAAATGTCATTGGGGTGAGACCGGGTAAAAAGGAAGGGTAGGGCATGGGGTGGGGCGTTGGGGGTCAAACACTCAGTGCAGTGTGGGTGTGTGCACTTGTAAATCACCCATGGTGAATGGGCAACTGCGTTGAAAGAATCTTCCCCAAAAGATTCATTAAAGCTGAAGGCAGCCTCTCACAACAATGCGCTAGCAGGTAATTGATGCTGATTGGTTCCTAGATTACTTACCTAGCAGGGGAAGCCTGTACTACAAGCCTGTACTACTACAGCTTGAAATTCCGACACTCATTCATTTGGTTATACTTAACAGAGCTCTCTATAGGACATGTTTTCTTTCTTTCTTTCTTTCTTTTTTTTTTTGAGTTGGAGTCTCACTCGGTCGTCCAGACTGGAGTGCAGTGGCCGCTCCTGGCCACCGCAGCCTCGACCTGCTGGGCTCCGGCAATCCTTCCGTCTCAGCCTTCCAAGTAGCCGGAATTACAGGCATGTGCTACCACGCCCAGCTGATTTTTTGATTTATTGTAGAGATGAGGTCTCGCTGCCCAGGCAGGTCTCGAACCCGTGGGCTCAGGCGATCCACTCACCTCAGCCTCCCAAAGGTGCAGGATTACAGGCTGAGCCACTGAGCCTGGCTAGGACATGTTTTCATTAGGAAGAAGCAAAGCAACGAACTTCTAGTGTCTGCTCGTGGAAAATTAAAAATGTAACAAATGATACCTGTTCCAAAGCCAATCCGAAGACCTCCCAAAAACTTGTTGGTTAGTTTGTAATGGTCCCAGACAGTAAGCTCTACACAGGCTTCTGACAGATCTTCAGGCCTAAACCCATCGTACACCATTGTGTGGTTGAAGATAGGGTTGGTGGTCTTCCCTACAGCTCTTGTCTTCTGGCGGCTTTTCCTACTTGTATCTGGAAGAATGGTACTACAAAGAGAGGCATTACTGTGAGGACATTTTAATAAAATAATAGACACAGAGTCATCTCTGAATGTCATTGGTTTGAATCGTGCTTTTGCCACTTATTGAATGTGGATTCTGGGGAAAGTTACTCAACTTCTCAGACACCTGCTTCCTCATCTATAAAATGGAAATGATGATGCTGATTTCCTAAGGCTGAAATTAGAATTAAATAACACATGCAAAACAGTTCGGTGCCTTTATTTAGTAAGTGCTTAATGTGACTGCAATTGCCCGAAGATTCCTTTAAACTTCGGAAGCATAGTCTATTCCTGATTATCTGTGATAGCCTAAGGAATTACTGTTAAACAGAATTGAAAAAGAAGATAAACTTCTCCAATTTGCTAGATTTGGCTTTGGAAATAAATTATATGATTTATATATATATATAATGTAATAATTATTTACATTCATTTAGGATAATAATTTAATAAACTGCAATCTACTGTGCTTCTTGTAAAAACAAGAAGTTCTGGGAGTGGTCTCAGAATGGTAGACTGACCTGAGCTAAAAAAACCTTACCAACAACTGACATCTATGAAGAGTATGGGTAGGGAAAATCATAAATAACATCATATATGCCACTTAGATTTATGACACATATTTAAATAGCTACAACTGGTCATCTGGCAGAGTCTATATATATATAAAATTAGTCAGAGGGAGTTAGGAGAGCAATCTGTTATTATTTACTAGATGCCAATTTATATGTGTAACAGAGAAAACGTTTGCCATTTAAAAAACCCAAACTATCTTAAGCTCTTATGAACTAACTCTTAGAAGAGGTTTGTATAGCAAATCATTTCCCAAATATCTGCAGTCTGATGCAAATGCCCTTTAAAAATGGGCCACAAACAGGTGGGACAAAGGAGAGGGGGAATCCTTCCAGCTCCATAAAGGAGCCAAAGGTGGGACATCCTAACATTAAAAATTAATACACATTTTAAAAATTCTTGCCCTCACCAACAGATGTTTTTCCTAGAACATTATTTATTTCAGTATGAGGTCTCAAGTTTCATCTGTATATATGACTTCCTAGCTTTTTGACTATAAAACTAAATGAAGCCTTGGGAGGTTCATGATATATACTCCTCTAGATCATGTCTCCCTAATTCCAAGTATATTTATTTAACCCATGAATGAGTCAACATCACAGATACAGAGAACTGACCAACCCCAGCAAACTTCAGGCTATAGTAGAACTAAAGAAGGCAGAGTTATGAATGCTATTACCATTTAACAAAAGAATTTAGATGGTTTCCCCTCAGCAGTGGTAGATCAAGGCATTCCTTCACCCAGATGTGCACTTCTCCAGTTGTAGGAAGTTTTTTACCTGCAATAGAAAAAGAAGAGAAAAATTGTACTGCCATCTCTTTCTTGGCAATACTGCATATCCAAAGTTGTCAGCCTAAAAATGTTCTGGCACAGGGATACTTGCTAGTACTTGATGTTATTATCCTAATTAAATCTACACATTCTTAACTATATCTCTCATAGTCTGGCTACACTGATCTTAGATAGTTTTATAAAAAGAATTTATATTGATTTCAAGTACAGAATATTACATCATTATTTGGGGGTTTTACTTGGTTTGACAAAATCAGGTATAAGAGATGTGAAACATCCATTTACAGTTATATTCAAAACAGCTCAATGAACAGCATATATCTTTCAAACATTACCATCAGTTGCTGCTAGGGAAAGGCATTTTAAGCATACTTAAGTGTAAAGTAACCAAAATAGGTACCAGCTAAGATATAGTCATTCTTTGTGTTAAGAGTAATTACATATTTTATGGGGTTATTATATATACATACATAATAGTTAATATTATGAATAGGAAGTTGGCTTAGCCTGAAAACGCCATCTAAGCTGGGTACATATGGACAGAGAAACACTACCAGATTTTTCTGGATGGGTTAGCCCAATCAGTCAACCAAACATGCTAGGAACATCATTAGATATACAAATAAATAAATAATCTATGCCTTAGGAAATGTTTACAGTTAAGCTGAAGACAGTAATTCAGATAAAAACTGTAAAAATGTATTTGACAGGTTAAGAAGAGGAAGCCATTCTAGGAAAGAAAAACTAAGTGAACAAAAACTCAGAAAGGTGGAGCCCCATCACAACATACAATCTCCCTGGCCCCTACTACCAAGTGATAGAGGAAAAATGGGAAACAGGGTTGGCAGAATTTCTATGCATGTTGACTATAATGATAGGATACAAATTATATGCAAAGGAATCCTGCCTTTTAAGAAGATCCAGAAGTCACAAGATAATGATCTGGCAGTAATTTAGCCTAAAAATAGGCTTTACTTGCCTTTTGATTCTTTTTCTTTTTTTTAACTGAATTAGAATGCCTTTTTCTGGTTACTGCCCTCACCATCCATTTCTTCCATCTCACTAGCTTCACTGTCTGGTTACTGAAAGCATTTGAATTTGCAACCCTGGATTTCAGCCATAACATACAGATCCTTGAGGAGAATAACTTGGGGAACTCACTTGGGAAAAGGGGGTAGTGGGTTGGCTGACATTCATTTTCTGCCAGACTTGCTCCTTAACTGGGCTGAAGACCTCAGGCCCTTATGACAAAGATGCAATTAGTAATCTTGAAGAAAAACCTTTATCTCTTAGGGAGACCCTGAGAGTGGAGGCCCATTGAGCTCTAAATTCTTAGGAACTTCCTATGGATTTTTCTAATTCTCACATGTGAAAATGAACATTCAGATTACATTCTCATCATAGCACTATTGATGGGTTCAAATTCTAAATATAAGAAAGGCCATTAACATTGTGCAAATATAAACTTTTTGGAGAGTGAGATGAATATTTCATTTTTGCCTCACTCTTCAAAAGACTGCAAACTGGACTAAAAAAAACCCCAGAATTTTCTCATAGAAGCAAAAAACAGAATGGTGGTTACCAGGAAGCTGGGGTCAGGGTAAAGGGAAGTTGTTGGTTAATGGACATAGAGTTTCAGATTTCCAAGATTAAAAAGTTCTAGATATTTGATCCCACAATGTGAAAATACTTAATACTACTGAGCTGTATACTTAAAAATTATTAAGATAATAAGTTCTATGCGATTTTTTTACCATAATAAAGTAATAAGAATTTTCTAATTTATAACTGTGAATTGACTCATGTGGTCTATATAGTTATTAACTTAATAAGTTTGGTTAGGGTTTCACCTTTGAAAACAAAATTAGAACCCAAATTAATCTTTGGAGAGAGGAAAGATAAGAGCATGGATCCGGATAGAAAATCATTACATACCAGGGATTGGCTCTGGAACATACTGGAGAGCTAGCTTCATTTCACCTCTGTTTTCTGCCTCAAGGGCAACTGGTGCTGTCTGAAAAATGAAGGAATGTGAGTGGGTATGAAACACCTGGACTTTGTATTCTATTTGTTGGTACAGATGCTGTTATGGGACTATATCTGTCCATTTCTGGGATTATGTATCACTCATGAGAGCCCCGGATTAAAATTTCCATCTGCATCAGACTAGACTGTTGCTTTTATATGTGGGAAAACTAGGCAGTTTCTCTTGAAAAAACTTTGCAGGGTATCAAAAAACATTGCAAGGCCTTTAGTCTCAAAGATGGAAAAATCAGAAGGGCTTTCTTGGAGATGGGAGAAGTGTTCTGGAATGCTTTAATTTTGATTAAAACACAGGCATTTTGTTAGGCATTCAGCCAGCACATAAAGCAATGTATTTGTATTCTTTACCTTTGAAGTAGTATAAGAAATAGTGAAGGGGCCGGGCACAGTATTTCACACCTTTAATCCCAGCACTTTGGGAGACCAAAGTGAGAGAATTGCCTGAGCTCATAGATTTGAGATCAGCCTGAGCAATTTGGCGAGACCTCATCTCTACAATTAAAGAAAAAAAATTAGCCAGGCTTGGTGGTGTGTGCCTCCAGTTTCAGCTACTTAGAAGGCTGAGGCAGAAGGATCACTGAGCCCAGCAGGTCGAGGCTGCAGTGGCCGTGAGAGTGCCACTGCACTCCAGCCTGGGCAACAAAGTAGACTCCAACTCAAAAAAAAGAAAAAAAGAAAGAAAGAAATAATGTGGGAAGCTAGGAGGAAAAAAAGTCAATTCTGATTACTTTAGACCAAATTCATAGAAGTCTATAAGAATAACAGACTCGACAATAATTTAAAGCACTTCTATCTGTTATTTTAAAATACGGGCTGGGTATCTCTTATCTGGAATGCTTGAGGCCAGAAGTTTTCTGATTTGGGATTTTTAAAAATTTTGGAATACTTGCATATGCATAATGGGCTGTCCTAAGGAGGACCCAAGTCTAAACATGAAAGTTATTTATGTTTCATATACACTTTATACATATAGCTTGAAGGTGATTTTATTAAATATTTTAAATAATTTTGTATTACCAGTCACATGAAGTTAAAGTGTAGAATTTTCCACTTGTAGTATCATGTACAGTGCTCAGAGAGTTTCAGATTTTGGAGCATTTTAGATTTCAAATTTTTTTTATTAGGGATGATCAATCTGTTTAAGAGAGATGGTTTTACTTTAAATTCTGTCTCTTTAGAGTCTTATTTCTAAAACATGGATATGCATCAGAAATGTGATAAGAGGTAGTTAAAAATGAGATGCTTTTGATGTCTCCTGAGGAATTTAGATGCAGCAGGTCTTGGTTAGAAATAAGTGTTTTGAGTGATTTTGATGCAACATTTGGGAACCATTCCTTTAGTGGAACTGTTTTATTGTACAGACACTAAATAGTGGGTTGTATTGTTTATATTTATCACTTCTAGCTATGATGGACTATCTTGGATCACATCAACCCTCACACTGAGAACAATAAAAAAGAAAGGATTTTTAAAAATCTATTTAAAAGTGATAAGGAATTACTAGGATGAATAGGACTCCAATGAATAAGATCTTAGAGCCTGATACTCTTTTCTGCTTTTCATTTTGAGGCACTAGCTGCTTTTTAAGTACAATAGTGCAAAACTGAGAGCATAGAAAGCCTAGCAGAAAAAGACTGAGAAGCTGAGCAGGGCTTTTAGCAGTTTCATGGCACTGGAAAGACAAAACTTGGAGACCACAGTCCGCCAAAAAGGAATGGCACTGGAAAAATACTCTAGGCCAGTAGCTCTCAAAGTATGGTTCCCAGATCAGCAGCATTGCCTGGGATCCTGTTAAAAATGCATATTCTTGGACCCAGAAACCTTGAGAATAGGGCCCAAAATTTATATTTTAAAAATTCCTTCAGGTGAATCGCATGCATGCTAAAATTTGAGATCTACTTCCCTAGGCTTTCAGTTGAAACCCTTGAAGGGCCACAGCCTAGGAATATAGGCAAACAAAAACAGAACAGACCACATGAAAACTGAACTTCAAGTCCAGCTTATTCTCAGACTAAATGAAGGCAGTCTGTCCGTACTTTGTCTGTCAGAAGCAAAAGTATACCTTCTCAAATTACCCCTAGAATATCCTTCTATGTAGTGTCCCACATGTGGTAAAAAATGAACAGGCATGCCAAGACAAAGAACCAAGTGACCAAACTAAGATGAAAAAAATAGATAAGAGAGACTTACAAATGTTTAAGATATTGTAATTTTCAGATACATACTTTAAATAACTTTGATTGCTCTATTTATATTTTAGTTCATTTTGCATTGCTATAAAGGAATACCCGAGGCTGAGTAATTTATAAAGAAGAGAGTTTTAAAAAGTTATTTTAAAAACTTTTTTAGGGACAGGGTCTCACTCTGCTGCCCAGGTGGGAGTGCAGTGGAACAATCATGGCTCACTGCAGCCCCAAGCTCCTGGACTTAAGCGATCATCCCGCCTCAGCCTCCCAAGTTGCTGAGACTACAGGCTTGTACCCTTGTACCCAGGTAATTTCTAAATTTTTATTTATTGGCCAAGTGCAGTGGCTCATGCCTGTAATCCCAACACTTTGGGAGGCTCAGGCAGGAGGATTGTTAGAGCCCAGGAGTCTAAGACCAACCTGGGCAATATAGTGAGACTTTGCCTCTACCAAAAAAAAAATCCCAAAATAAGTACATTCTTATTTTATGTGTATGTGTGTGTGTGTGGAGATGGGATCTCACTATGTTGCCCAAGCTGGTCTCAAACTCCTGGTTTTAAGTGATCCCTCTGCTTCAGCCTCCCAAAGTGCTGGGATTACAGGTGTGAGCCACTGTGTCTGGCTGAAAAGAGGTTCACAGATTTATATGGCGTCAGCATCTGCTGGGCTTCTAATGAGGCCTCTGGAAGCAGACAGTCATGGCAGGAGGCAAAGAGGGAACCGGTATGTCACATGCCAAGAGCAGAAGCAAGAGGGGAGAAGGAGGTGCTACGCTCTTTTAGACTGAGTCTCATGCTCTACTGACTGACCTGGCCAGGTGTTTGCTAGGTTCTTTTAAACAACCAACTCCTGCGTTAACTAATAAACTAAGAACTCACTCATTACCAAGAGAATGACACCAAGCCATTCACGAGGGATCTATCCCTATGACCCAAGCACCCTCCATTAGGCCCCATCTTCAACACTGAGGATCACATTTCAACATGGCATATGAAGGGAACAGCAATCCAAACTGTATCAATTTATAAAGATGATGTTAAGATAGAGAATTTTTGGAGAGATGGAATGTCAAAAGAAAATCTAAGTTTGAAACTATATTTAATATTATAGATGGACTTAAGTTGTAGATGGTTTTAACAGCAGAATAGAAATAGAAGATAACATTATTGAACTAAAAGAGAGGTTGGCAAAAAAAAAAAAAAAATAGCCTGAAGCATAAAGAAAAAAAGAATATAAAATACAGAAAACAGCATAAGAGACACATAGAATAAAGTAAAAAAATACACGTGTAATGGGAATTTCCAGAAGAAGAGGAGAAAACAGTGGGGCAAAGGCAATATTTGAAGAAACAATTGCTGAGAAATTTTCAAAGTGATGAAAAAATACCAAGAGACAGATTCAAGAAGCTCAGTGCACCCAAAACAGGATAATACAAAGAAAACTACACCTAGGTTCACTAGAGAAAAACTGCCAAAAATCAAAGACAGATTAAAAAAAATCCTACAATCTGAAAGAAAAAAAAACACATAACCTTCAAAGGAGCAAAAGTAAGAGTAATAGCTGATTTCACAACAGAAACGACCAAATACAATAGAATGACATATTCAAAGTGCTGAAAGAAATAATTGTCAACCTAGCAAAAGAGCAAAAACATCGCTCAAAGATTAAGATGAAAAAGATATGACACAAAGAAAACCTGAAAGAATCTGTTGCCAGTAAAAGCACTAAAAATAAAACTAAAGATAAATCTTGAGCAGAAGAAATAACTCCACATAGTAATAGAGGGAAGGATAGAAAACAATAGAAAGGCAAATATGTGGTTAACTCTAAATAAATTGACTATGAAACAACAATGTCTTATGTGACTTAAAAATACATACATTTAAAACATGACTAAAAATAGCACAAAACATGGGAGAATGAGTAAATGGAGTTAAAATGTTCTTGGTTTCGTTCATTGTCCTGAAAGTGGTAATATATTAGACAGTTTTAATTCAAAGATGCATCATATTGTAATCTCTATGGTAACCAATAAAGAAAAATGCAAAGAAACTATAACTAGCATATTACCAGAGGGGAAAATTGAATAATATAATAATAAATCCCAAAGGAGGCAATTATGAAAATAATAAGAAAATAGGACAAATATTAAGATATTAGATTAGGATTCAAATATGTCAATAATTATATTAAATGCAAATGAACTAAATAATCCAATTGAAAGAAATATTTTCAGACTGGAAGTAAACTATTGCTTATAAGAAACATATCTTAACTACAAGAATTTAGAAAGGTTGAAAATCAAAGGATAAAAACAGACTAAAGTTGACAGTGTTATATTAATACACACAAAGTAGATTTTAAGGCAAGAAGTACCTGTAGAGATAAAAAGGGAATTTCAAAATGATAAGATGGTCAGTTGATCAGGAAAATATAACAGATCTAAATGACAATCTCAAACACAGTGAGCCAAAAATAACAAAACTAAAAGGAGAGAAAGACAAATCCACAATCATAGCTCTCTTAGTAATTCATACTATACACACACAATAAAATCAGTAAGGACAGAAAATATTTGAATAAGCATTTTAACTTAATTAATATATGTGGAACATCACATCCTACAACCCCAGAATATACTTTTTTTTGCAAATGACACATGGATCATTTATCAAAATGTAGCCATAAACTAGGCTAAAAGTAAGTCTCAACTTTCAAGGGATTGTATTATTTAAATGACCTTTCTGAAGTCTCTGAAACATTCGCAGCAAATGATTTAAACATTCTCCCTATGATCTTTTTTTCTTTTAATTATTGTAGAGGTGGAGTCCCACTGTGTTGTCCCAAACTCGTCTCAAACTCCTGGCCTCAAGTGATCCTCCTACCTTGGCCTCCCAAAGTGACAGAATTCTAGGCACGAGCCACTGTAGCTGGCCCCTATAATCTTTTTTTACATTTTCTTCACTGAATGTACAGGCTAAATTAGTCCAACTTTAGTTTAAAATAATCCCAAACCACAGATCAACACTCTACATTAATTAAACTTTATCCCGTATACCAGGCCCCAAACCAACCAACCAAACAATAAACACAAAAGTCTAATCTTACCTTCTGCTTCAAAGGGTACCACCTCAATTGTTTATTCTGTTTGTTGTCCCAGTCCCATGTTTCCAAGTCAAGTTCCACCTCCCCTAGGAAACTATTGAGCTTAAATGGATCTCGATGCCAAACGGACACGTTCAGCTTCTGTGTCTTTAAGTTTTGCTTTTCAATTTTATACTAAAGTTCAAAAAAAAATGATGAATAACATTATTTTATGCCAAGTTATGACACAGAAAAGTCATCTGTGTAAGTCAGATTTTCTTATCTGTTAGGTTTTAAGTCTCAAAATTATTGCAAAGTCGTCTTATTCAAGAGTTCTGTTTCAAAGAGCTGAAGTCTATCTTTCATAAAAGCTGATTTTCTCCCTCTCTCTGGAAAAGATATCATAGCTGGGAATAGTTCGCTACAAACAAAAGCCAATTATTCAATTTTTGCTGGATATTTTTAGACTAGATATAACGTAAACTCAGTCTAAAAATACAAATCACGTTTACTCCAATTGTTTTCTACCTAAGAACAAAGTTTTTTAAAATAGACTTTATTTTTTAGGTTCATATTAAAATTGAGCAGGAAGTACACAGTTCCATTTACCATGTGTCTCCACATACACATACCTCCCCCTTTTTTAAAGATACACTTTTGCTTTTTCCTGTTTCATATGACCAAGTAGAAAAGATTTGGCATCCGAATAGTTTTTCATCTCAAATGTGGTCAATCCTTGATTATATATAATTATGGAAGAGATAATAGTACTTCTAACCTAAAAATAGTTTCCACTTGGCTTTATGATGTATTGCTACTTGAATGTCCATTTTGGTTGGAACAGACTTGCCTTTCTCTGGGTTCACCATTTAAATTAGCTGGCTTCCCCTGAGTATAGGGTTGAAGTATCTGTCCCCCAAATAGCTCAAATACCAGGGACATCATAGTCCAACAGTAATTAAAAACTTGCTACAGAAAATCCACAGGTGGTCAAGTCACCCATGGATGACTGAGAGTTTACTTTACTTCTTTTTCCAGAAGATGATCAAATACTTGGACAGAGTTTTCAGAAAGAAGAAACGAACAACATTTCTTTTATTTTTGTTTTAAATGATATGTTAATCATGACTAAAAGAGCATGATGCAGTTTTGGGAGAGAAAAAGAATATGAGCCAAATATACTTTCCACTCATCTTCCATCCACCTATCCTTCCTATAAACATTTTCTGAATACCTATTCTAGACTCAAAATCAAGATTGCATGTTTAATGTGTGCTAATCTTTCATACATATTAACTATTTTATTGCTCATTTATTTCCCTTTTGCAGATCTGAGAATTAGCATTATCCCCATTTGGCAGACCTGAGGTGCAGACACATTAAGTCATTTACCCAAAGACACAAAGTTAATAAACAACACGGAGTTGGTCCCTACCCACACGAAACTTAGATTTTAGTGGCCAGGAAGACCAATAAACCACAAACTAAAGTGAAAAGTGTTAACATAGCCTGTTACAAAGCAAAGTTACTGAGGCAGCACACAGCTGACTTAACTTGGGGGTTAAGGACAACCTCTCATAAAAGGAGGCATTTAAAACAGTGTGGGAGATAGGAAAGAATGCAGGGAAGAATATTCCAGCCTGAAGGAACAGAAAGTCCCAGTGTTGTGAGAAAATGTACTTTCTCCAAAGGACAGAAAGGAATACAGGGTGACAGGAACAGAATATGGAAGGGAAAGTTGAGGCTGGAGGTCAGGTTGTGAAGGGGCTGGTGGATGTGTTAAGAAAGACGGATTTGACCCTAAGGGTAATAGAAATCCTAAAAGATTTTAAGCAGAAAAATAACATGATCAGAATTGTGCTTTTAGATCATTCTGGTTGCAATGCTCAATTTTACCAGCTGTGTATCCTTGAGCAAGTTACTTTACTTCTCTAAGCTTCATTTGCCCCATATGTAAGATGTAGATAATAACACTGGCCTTGCAGAGTATGTACGAGGAGTGAATGAGATAATATAAACAACACTTGTGGTACATTGTCTCCTACAAACCCAGTTTCAAATGTTTTAATTCCTTTCCTTCTCCTCTTTGGTGACTGACTTCATTCTACAGAGGTACTACCCAAGACAAATGGCTATTTAAACACACAGGTCGCCAGTTAGGATTTTCCTATAAAGAGAGTTCATAGATACCCGCAGTATCTCGTTGTACACAGGATTCAAGGTTTTCTTCACTACAGATGTTTTCTTCTTGTGCCTTTTGCCTTTGTCTGGCAACAAATAGGTCTTGACATATCTAAAAAGGAGAATTGAACAACAGAAAAGTCAAAGAAGATAAAGGTGATATTTCCACCTCTACTTTTAAAAAATGCATTGAAGCAAAAATATGGAACCAACTGTGCTGCCCATCGAAGAGGACTGAATAAAAAACATGTTGTACATATACACAATGAAATATTACACAGCCATAAAGAAGGGCAAAAATATAAACTTCACAACAACTTGGATGGACTTAGTCTATCATACTGAGTGATCTATCACAGAAAAAAGAACTGAGTATTACTTGTTCTCACTCATAAGTGGACCTTGAACAATTGTCGTAATATTATAAGAAAAGGATTGGCAGTAGCGGAAAACTACGGGGGTGAGAGGGTGCAAGATTGGCAGTAGTGGGAATCTACCAAGGAAGGAGAGTTATACCCATCAACAAGGGTACCTGCATAATGAACATGTGTATAAATAAAAAATTTTTTAAAACCCCCAAAACAAAAAAACTAACAATAAATAATGCATTGAAAACTGACAACAGAAGTAATTATTTTACAACACTGAGAAAACAGTAAGTGATAAAATTTCCCATCATTTTTCTACTTACATGTTCAAAGGGATTTTAGTGTAATCAATCATTTAGTATTGTTTTGAAGATTTGTAAAGGACATTTCCTGAATTCCTTTTTTCCTTTGGCCTTAACTAATATGCAGGGGGTGGGGGGCAGAAAATACAACTCTAACATAAAGCTTAATTCTGTTAATCTGGTACCTATTGAGAAAAGGCTTTGGTGCTCATGATTTTTTTTTTCCAGTTCTTGTTATTGTATTTTGAAAAAGTTAATCTTAATACACACCTAATCATGCCATATTCAATATTTAAAACAGGAATTTTTTAATAATAAGAATAAAAGAGAAAAGGATTGGGCTTGTTCTAGCAAAATAATTTAAGAATCAAATTTGTATAGAGAGAATGTCATCCAACTTTTGCAAATAAACTGAAATGCAATCAAACCTGTGATTTTAAAAACAATTTAATGATTTATCCTAAAGTTCTTCTGTAAGATATTATATAATTTAAATATAAAAGCTATCTCATTCTAGAATCTTAACTATTTTTACAACACTGAGCATTATGAAGTGTGCCCCATATATCCTTAATTTTAGAAAAAGTTTGAGAATGTGATGGAAAGAAACAGGGGTTCAAGCCCTCATTCTTCATTTTGTTTGTATCGAAATTTTTGTATATGGGTTACTTGTCTTCTCTGGTCCTTGTTTTCTTATCTGTAAAATGAAAGAACTGGACAAGATAACCCCAAAGGTTCCCTCCATGTTGAATCATTTTATGTTTCTCTATGATTTTTATAAATTATATTTGGCATATGAATGAATAAAGTAAATAAAACAGCATTTCCCCCAATTTTTCAAATATTTCTTTTAATACAGTCATACACATACTTTCCCCATTTGAGTACTTTCTTTTTTTCCCAATTCCTACAAGATTGATAGTTGGTAACTGAGAGAGAATAGGTGACTCCAAAATATACTTACGAGTCTGAGTACTGTTTTTTAACATCTGCTGCTGCTAAGTCCTTACACTGGGCCACAAAAATATGCAACTCCTTTAATGACTCCACATATTCTACTGCAAACAGAATCTTTCCTTTAACTTCCAGATTGCCGAAGTCTCCACTATAAACACTCATCACACTGCCACTCACCTGAAAGCATCAGAAATATGTAGTGTTTGTCTCTATCTCATTCTTGAACCCAGCACAGGATGATGGATATAATCTTTGCTTGGCATTTTTTCTCTAACTTGCTTATAAAAGCAGTTAATTTAATATGGCTTAAAGATATATCTACACAATCTGACATGATATACATGACTTGCACTTTTAAAAAATTCCCCTGTAGGACATAGATGAAAAAAAAAAAAAGCAAAGTTATTTAGATGCTGGCTCATTTCAAAGCAGGGTGATTTTATACTAGGTGGCATTCAGAGTTCCATTTTTAGGCATGCTTAGTATTTCAAATCCTAAAGGAAGAGGATGTGAGAAAACCCAAACACTCAAGTCACAGTGCCACATTACTCTATCAAATTTCTAAAGCACTAAAAAGGAATTTCACCAAGTTACCCATCCACTGACTCTAGGAAAATGCTTACTGAGCCATGCACTTTCCAAGGTCAGGAAGGGTAGAAAATGGATGATTGATGAAGGAGGTTTAAAGCCTTCCCAAGGGCAAACATTAGATTGCTATCAGCAGAAACTCAATTTAAATAGATTTTTTTAAAGGGTTTCAGAAACACAAGACCAGTAAGAATTTAAGTGTAGCTTTATCATTTGTTTAATATACCTGGCAAGATATTTTTATGTGTACATATATATATCAGAGAAGTATTTGGATAAGTGTATGTAGATATATTTACATATATATTTCTACACATATGCTACATGCACACACAACTACCTTACTTTATGCAAAAAGTCTATGTAAAGTCAAATTTGTCAAATTCTCTTCAATCAAATATGAGTAACTACACTCAAGTTTTGGTTTTTTTAAATCCTTTTCTAAAAATAAATAAATAAATCATTTTCTGAATCCTTCTAAGAACACACCTCTCCTGTTTTTTTATGTGAATCAATACATTTATTCATCAGGTTCACTAAGAGAGAGCTAAAATTCTCAGTATGCAAACAGTATATAAAAGCAAATCTGATACAAGTAGATTTTATAATAGTTACCCCATTTGTTGCACAGAAAAATTTAGTGGTTCATCTTGTTGGCAATTTGGGTTTGTTTTTGAAGTACTTGCATTCAAAAAATCCACATTTATTTATAACAGATACAAACCCCTTTAGTCTTAAAAAAAAGAAAAAGAAAAAAGCAAAGGAAAGGAAGCTAATTATGGATTAGAGAAAATACTCATGCCTTTTGAGAATGAGAAATAAAATAGAAGGCTGTTTTACAACAAGCATGAGCATGTCCCAGCAAGGTTCAGAGATGCAGAGAGATATTAACATGGAGGTTTTGTTTACATACAGAAGATAAGGACGTCATGCCAGAGGAGCTGCTAAGATTGGTTAAAGAGCTCGGGCTCTTCTTGTGTCTGCTGAACTGGTAACTGCTTTCTGATGCTGTATCTGTTTCTCTGTCATCACTCTACAAAACATCATACAATATGCACAGTATTTAAATTCAGAATGAGTCAAGATTAGAATCTCTGTTTAGGCAAAGATGATATCTGGAAATACCATTGACATTTCCCAAGGTCAAAGGACACTAGTGCTAATTGCCAGGGAATGGGATTCAGAATGGAGTATGTGCTTGGTCTGCCATGGACCTAACCTAAGGAGGAGGGCAGTGCTTAGCTACCAAAATAAAAAGTGATTTTCACTTACAAGGTGGTCCCCCAAGGTGCTACAAAAGACAACACTATCGTGAGTTTTCTTGTCACTCTTTTAATATTATATATTTATGTCACCTGGAAAACTTTACTGGTATATATAAGAAATTAACTTTACCCATACAATAAGAGGTCTAAGATCTACCATCAAAACAAAATGTACTTAATTCCTCGTTATTAACATAGCCTTAATGTCTCTAAAACTCAAAACTTTTATAGGAGACACTTTAAGAAAAAGAAATGCTAGTTTGATCTGTTTCAACTAGAGGTCATATATGTGTTAAAAAAAAAATTTTAAACCACCCCTTATGTACTTCTATAGTGTTATTGTGCTTATCTTTTGTTGTCTATAGGGAAGTATATTAAATTATATTCTACTCATTGAATTTTAACACACTTCTTTTTAAAAAAGAGCAATAAGGTACAGGAAATTATTTTAAATATGTCCCAGGAAATATTTAGCTGGGACAAAAAGAAAAAGTGGCCGTAACAAATTTTATTATAGTTAGATCTAAAATTCATTAAATAGTACTTTAAAAATTCAGAACGAGCTCCTTTTGAGGTTAAACAGCATATGGAGCAGTTCAGTGGCTCCTGGGGTTAAGGGACACCTTTATGGAGTAGTTAGTTCATGCCAACATATTTCAGGACCATGCAATTATGCATCAGTATAATGGGTGCCAATTCTAATGCAGATTAATAGAGGAACTAAAGAAAAGCAAAATTAATGACTTGTATGAATAAGAATCCTCTCTCAAGGATTTAAAAAACTAGACCTATTAAATGTCTCTATTGTCACACTCTCTCCCCACACATGCGCACAGTCATTTCCCTCTATTATAGCACATACTACATTCTACCTAGTACGTCAGATCATTACCAAATTATTGGAAGGATGACACTGTCTTATTGATCTGGAACAGTGTTTTTCATGTGACCGGCACTTAACAAATGTGACTGATGATGTCTCAAAGGGAAAGTGGACAAACGAGCAAGGCCTGATTTCATCTCCATTTTCTTTAATACCCAAATCAACTCATGCATGCCATGTAAAATGATACAGCTTAATTCTGGTATCTCTGACACACAAATCCAAAAAATGATTTGAATTTTCTTCTGTGTGGAGCTATGAGACAGAAGAAAAAACTGAAGGAAGGGGAAAAATAAACTGGGAACTGATATAATGTGCCTTTCAAATTGTTATATGGTTCACTCATATGACTACCCAAGACCAAAGAAGATCTTCAAGGTTTAAACCACAGTAACTCCACAGGGTGCCTATCGTTGGCTTCTATCTAGTGAGTTAGTTCCAAAGGATGAGTGATTATTTTCCAAAGGAAACTGTAATGTGGGCTCTTAAACATATGCAAGGGATGAATATTTGCAGGCAGAGTTCATTGAAGGCCCAAGAATGAACAGAAAGCTGCCCAGGACAATGGAGAAAGGTAATTCATATGTTGCCCAGAGATTTCCTCAACACTCCATCTACTAAGAGATGTGAGAACGAAGCCTTTTATTTCACCATCAGAAATCAGACCAAAACACAAATAGTAACAGCTAAAATTTACCAGGTAGTCACTATATACCAAGCTCTGTGTTATGTGTTTTTCAGGCATTATCCCACCGATTCCTCACAACTTAATGTGGGAGGTACTAGGAAACCAGCTCCAGGAAAGGTAAAGACTTTGTCCACAATCACACAAAAAATTAGGATCATAGTCAGGACTGAGAATATCTGGCTCCCCAGCTCAGGCTTCTAACTACCTGACGGCAAGAACATGCGGTCTTAAAGCCAAAAGACCTGAGTTAAAGTCCTATATCTACTTTTTTGTAGTCATTAGATTTTGGGAAAGTTACTTAACCCCTCTGAGCCTCTTTCTTCTTTTCTAAAATGGAGAAAACAGCACCTACAACATATAGTTAGTAAGAGTTGTATATCAGAATGAATACCAAGGACCTGGCACATACTAGGTGCTCAGTGAATAGTAGATAATAGTCATGTCCTTACTTGAGACAATATAGAAGAGTGGTTAAAGCATGGAAGTCATATTTGGGCTCCAGTCCTGGTTTAACCCCTCTCTAGCTGAGTGAGGTCACTTGACCTCTCTTAGTCTCTGTTTCCTCACCGTAATATATGCGGATAATAATGGTGCCTATCTCCCAGGATTGTTGAAGGATTAAATGAGATAATACATGTACAGTGCCTAGAACCCAGTAGATACTCCTTAAAGTTTGCAGTATCATTGTTACTTTATTATTTTAACAAATGCTTTCAAGCTAGCCATGCTACCTAAATGAAGCTCCCACAAATCGACTCAACTCTATACTACAGAGGAGTACTGTAATTAATTCATGCCAACATATTTCTATCTGGATTTCTTATTGTGTACTTACTTTGAAACAAAAGTCACATTCCCAAATCTATGCAATTTGACTTCACTGACCAAAAAGAGTTACTGTTCGAGTCAAATGAGACGCGCTTTGCCTTGTTCCAGGATCAACAACACTACCTCTATTGACTTGGAAGGCAAGGGCCAGTCCTGCTGACCTCTTTGGTCTCTGCCACAGGGAATACGAACACACCGACCTTGGCATAGCAAATCCACTGGCTCCACTTTTCTGAAGGTTCAAAAGACAGACTTGCCTCATCTTGTAGAAATGCTGGAACAGACTTGCTCATCCTTTTGAGTTTGTCAGGGTGAGAAAACTGATTATCAGGCGGTGCAGGCACTGTGGAAACTAAACAGCAGCATTTTCATTTCAAAATCATTCTTACAATTGTCAGACAACATTATATGTAAGTTGAAAACATACTTTTCTTTCATCTATGAACATGTTTTTATAAAAAGGTCAAAGGCACAGTAGTTTGCACGCACAGGATCATGAGGTAAGCAACATGCAGTTTTTATACATTATATATAGAGGAAACTAGCAAGGAGTTGAACCAAATAAAAAACTAACATAAAAATTAATTTTTAAAATGTTAGTTTTTCTTGAACTGGTGCTGGACTTGAATTAAAGTATACTGTCAGTGTGAATTGGTTTAACTTATTTTTTCAAATCAGAGCTTCAAACCATAGGTTATTGGTTCATCTCCTTGAGATATATTACTAACATGCTGCAGGCTGAAAAACTATTTCATCTGGACAGTAAAGATTTTTGTACGCAAGTCATAATAAAAGTTTTCTGGCTGTTGAATATCCAAAAGTAGATTTGTTTGTTTAGTGATCATGGGGATTACTTTTCTGATAATATTTCTCATTCAGAATTATGAAAAAGTATAATTTTAAAATTAATTATTTTTTGAAAATAGAAATTACTTAGGTACTTTGTTGACTCAAAGAGTTTTCAATATTCGCAAGGTTAGATTAGAATGGTTCAAATTAAGGTACTCTAAGAATTTAATATGAAAATGTAACATATATCTTCTTTTTGATATAGAAAGTATGTGAGTGGAAGGCACAATAAAATACATTTTAATCCTCATTTGCATATCCATAGTTAGAAAATATGTTTCTTCTTTGTTTAAGAATCACAATGTCTGTTTTTCTTATGGTGAATCACAGTTTTTATAATGAATGGGTTAATATTTTTCAAGGCACTTTGAACAGTACCTGGCACAGAGTAAGCATTTTCTAATAAAAAAAAAATCATATGATAATCTTTAAATTATATTGTGAACATGATATAGATATATTGACTTGGCTTTCTCATTAAAAGCAATGTTAGGAAAATAGATAAAAATCAAATTATATTTTTATATGTAACTAAAAAGACTCAAATTCAACCCTAAACAATAGCTAAATGCATCTTTATCTAAAATAAATCTAATAAAGGAAAAACTGAAACCTGAGTTACACATACTAAATATATCCTTGTTCACATAGCCATTCTCATCTAGCCTTAGGCTCACAAAGGTAAATGTATGAGGAGGGAACTTCCCCAAAACAGAATTTATTTATAAAAAATTGTGTATTTATTCCTACATGTTTAAACTTTAGTCACCTTCAAAGTACTCCCCATTTGATGCAATACACCTATCCAAAGGCTTTTTCTACTGCTCAAAACAGGTTTTGAACTTGTCAGTGATGTCTTTTAGTGTGTCTGCCATTTTTTGGTTCACCTTTCCCAAAATGGCAAAATGTTTCCCTTTTGAGGAATTTTTTCATCCAGGGCAACAAAAAAAAAAGTCGCTTAGGGCAAGATTGAGTGACTAGGGAGAGTGAGATGGGGGGTCATTCTGTCTTTGGTCAAAAACTCCTGAACACTCAGCAGGGTGTGGGCAGGTGTATTGTCATGGTGGAAGAACCAGTCACCTCTTTGCCACCACTTTGGATGTCTCTTGCACAAATCGTGATGCCTTGCACAAATCGTGATGCAACCTTCCCAAAACTTCCAGATAAAAACTTTAGTTGACTGATCCAGAGGAACAAATTTCAAGTATACCAGAAGGGGCCCGTCCTCCAAAAGATACTTCCAGTTTTCTTCTTTGGGTCCTTCCCTTGTATGTCAAAATACATTTATGGTGTCTCACTAGAATGATCCTACTTTAATCACTTCCCATTAGACAATAGTGTGTGTGTGTTTGTGTGTATCATGGTGAGCTATATTGGTAGCAGTGTAAGATTGGGTCCCACAATATGGTACAATGAGAATGTAAATGCTTTTTTGATATAACATTGCTTCCTACCATCTTCAAGATATGTTGTTGAATGACACTATGAGGGTAGAATTCAGTTATGCTCACTATTCAAATATAGTCAATTTTAGATTTGTGGGCTTCAGTTATTTATTATTTTGATCATGTATTTTATTTCTGTTGTAAGAATATACTCTTAACTAGTGAAAAGGCACAAGGAGTCATTTTGAGGAATATCACTAAAGAGAGAAATTAATTTACCCAGAGTTTAGCACATGATTAAACTATTGGCCTTCACTAGTAACTAATTAGGAGGCCAATTAGGAGGCCATAAATGAAGATACAGATATATAGGCATATAGGCCTACATATATTTTGCTTTCACTCCTCAGACTAAATTTTGAACAAAGCATAGCAAGATAAAATAAGATGCCTGAACTTGATTCTATCCTAATTCAAAAGCAGCTGGAAAAGCCTCTTTAACCAACATCCCTTAGGGTTGGAAGTCTTGTTTCCTCTGTGTCAGACAGAGAGCACATACTCACAAGGGCCGGAGCCTGGACTGTCTTCCTTCCTAGGCAGTTCTTAAGAATTTATCAAGTCATGTGCCAAAGCTCAATATCTTCACTGCTGATAGGAAGACCTCATGAACAACGTTTCAGATTTCATGCTGCATGTCACTGACTTCTAGCGTCAGCACATTGTTTTTCTGTCTAATGACTCCTTCATTTAACTGCTCTCATCATTAAGCCCTATTAGCACATCCAAAGACTTTTGGGAAATTCTTAAAAATACTGTGGACTTGAGGATAGACATGTGTATCGTTATCTTCACACCTCCAGTGCCTAAGTCTATGAAGCTAAGGGAAACCAGGAAGCTAAGAAATCACATACACATACCTGCATGCTTTGCTAGGCCCCCAAAACACCTTCTTAATGTGTTGTTTATCCTTAAGACAGTAGTCATAGCTAAGTAGAATAATCTTAAGATCAAACAGAAAAAAGTGAACCAACATTATCTCTCCTTGGTGGTGGACATTAATTAGTTGATGAACATTAGTCACCGTAAGTATATATTTACTTCTTCAGTTCAGATAGTCATTTGCTTTATATGTTGAATATTTATTGTTCAAGTCTAGTTTTGAACCTAAGAGTTTAGACCCTGAACATAATTTGCTTTTATAGATATGTAGAGACACATATACAACTATACTATATACTGTCAAAGTACAGTTCTTTCTTAGGTCCAAATAAGTTATAATTATTTCATGTCTTCAGTTTTGTGTAGGGGCCTCAAGAGAGCCAATTCTCAAAAATCAAACTGCAATATAAAAGTGGAATGAAATCAGAAGGTGCCAACTTGATATTAAGCAAAGACTCAAAGAGCAGAGAAACTGACAGAAGTACAATAATACTCAGCAATAACATATATGTATTTAATATATAGCTCTCCCTCAGTGGAACCATGAGTTATTCTTTCAACACTGACAATAGTAAAACGTTTTAAATAAAACGCTTATCATAATGAAATAGTTTTGCAAGCTGCAGGAGTTTAGTACCAATAACAAGTGCTGCATTATTAATGTGGTTAGTTATTTCAGTATATCCAATACTATGTAGAGTGAAACATTTAGTCATTTGTGAGAAACATCCTACTACTCACTTCTTGGTACGCATTCATTTGTATCTGGTTCCTGATCTGCTTTTTGATCTACTCAGGAGGGCAACATTGAGAATAAATACCATTTTAACAGAAGGATTAAAGAGACATGAAAGTAAGGCTCGAATATCAGTTTCACAGCTAAGCAGAATACATCTGACAAATTTTCAGCTTGCTTTCATCCATTCTTCAGTGTGGCTCATTATTAACCTCTGTAAGTTTCTTTGTTCAACTAAAAATCTAAAATCTAACATAAGAGATATGTAGCATTTTTCTTTTAATTTACTAAACCACTGTACGGAAAATGGGAATGAGCACTGAACTAGGAGTAAAGAAGCTGAGATTCCATTTCCTGCCTTTCCATTGCCTCACTGTCTACAAGATCTTAGAAAAGTCATCTGATTTCTCTGAGTTTTTATTACATACAAAATGAAAATAAAAATCACTGCCCCACCAACTTCAATGAAGCTTTGTAAATATAAAATGAGAAAAACAAAAACCATTACATAAAAGTAAAGAGTGACCTTTGAAGAGCTCTGTTGCTGCATTTATAGGGGAAAATTCAGCAAGCATACATTTTTATGATTATAATGGAGACAATTTAGGGAAAAAAATACAGCATACAAATATAAATTATACATTTGCATAAATTTTGAACGATAAAAAGCTGAATCATTTCCATCCCTCCCCTCACCAAGGTACTATTATCTATTCATTTTATAATGGAACCAAGTAATACCTGATCTATTGACAAGCTTCTAGATCTTCTGGCTCCATTATATTCAGAATCAATTAATTTTATTCTCAGTCTATATTTAGCTATTTATATAAGCAGAGGCAGGATTCCCTACCCTTGTTCTGGGACCCTTTCCTTTGAACTTGAGGCTTTACTGGTTGTCCCCAAAGAGATCTAAATGCTGAGACTCGAGTATCAAACAGAGAATAACTTAACCCAAGAACCCATTCCACTCTTTCTGCCTTTACGAGTTCTGTAAGTCAGAGTGGCAAAAATCACCTCATAGTCATAAAAATACAATTTTTTCTATGAATAGAAACCCTTGCTTCCCAAGGGTCTTTCATGAGATCCTCACGACAGTATCACTAGCAGAAGCCTTAAGAATACAAACAATTAAATGCACCAAGTCAGAACTGTTTTATAATAACTTAGACACTATTCACCACATAGTGGCAAATGACGTTCTTCTATTTATCCAACAGCTGCGTCCCGGAGACTGCCCAAATCATCCCAGAACTCAATACACAGACAGACATGCAAATACATAAAGATATTTACCATCTTCAGCACTACGTACTAATTCTTCTGGCAGATTATCTACTTTTGCTTGATCTGTTCAGGAGAAATTAACAAATGGTTAACATGGCTGACCCTTGGAGAAAAAAGAACAAGGAAATTGTCTCTGGAAGCCCCCGGAGTTGGAAGCAATTAGTCAAGATGCAGTGAGGGGTGCAACCAAGATGTCTTCCCCAAAATACTTTCTCTTTAGATTAGCTACTTGAGCTAGTGCCATAGCGGGAGCTCCCATTTCAGCTCGGATGCAGTTCACATCAGCACACTGCTGCACACAGACTCCCAAGGGTTAGAGTTAGCTCAGAGCAAGCAATCGGCCAGCAGCAGGAGAAAGCACGAGCTGCAACAGCCTCTCTATTCTTCTGTAAAGGGTAAGATGCTAGCCATGACTAACACCTTCCCACCCATGGTCATTAACAAATATTTGTGTGTGTGCATCATCGTTTGCATATGCCTCTGGGAGGCTTGCTTGGGAAGTCAACTGAAGAGATGTAACTGGGGACCAGCTGCTAAGTGGAATCTTGGCAGGCTACTGTGAGAGTGGGTATCGGTATTTGGAAGGGAGCAGGGAGCGTGCAGGAATACCCGTCAGCTGATGGTGATTTTTTTTTTAACCCTATGCATTCCTGAGTACTTTAAAGTTGCACCACAGAAATAGCCTCATGCTTTACAGGCAAGAGGTTGGTTAAATTGGACAATTGTTGCTGAGGTTTTTTGTTTTGCTTTTTACATTCTCAGGGCTCATCACCAACATAAGAAGGAACAATCATAGATATCCAACAAAGGACTGGACTCCCCCTTTCTGGAAACATTCAGGCAGATGTAGGGGTCGGCCACCTATTGAGGAGGCTTTAGAGGGAATTCTGCATGGAGGAGGGAGGTTAAAATGGATGACTTTTAAGGTCCCTTCCAATTCTGAGATTCTAAGATTCTTGGGAGAGTTAGGACTGCACCTCAAATTAGGAATACTGTCTTCAGAGCCCTGGACATTTTTTGGTGGAGTGGCTTTTTCTTTTTCTTTTTAAACTCTGACTGCTTAGTCTCAGTTGCAGTTGCATAAAAGAATTCTAAACACAATGGTCAATTATCAGTGATGAGCTTGGCAGTGGTTAACTTTCACTTGTAATTTTTCTTATGACCATCTGCAATCCCAAGAGCAAAACCCCTAAAAGTCATGGTTTCTAAATCTATTTGTCTGACTCATGAGTCCCTTTATATATCGTGCCTTCTGTTAGTACTCAAGAAATCTTTCACCAGTTGAAGCAGCAGCCAGTGGAAAATTGTGTGTCTGAAGTCTTGCATGTCAGGTAGTCTTTGGGCTTACATAGTTCCAGTATCCAAAAGAAATGTGTGAATAGAAAAGAAGGAATGTGAGAAAGAAAAGTTCTTGAAGTCAGGGACTAATTCAACTACATATCATGCAAAATTCATCAGACATCTACTGTCATATATATAAAACATGATTCCTTCATAAATGCTCTTGACATTCTGAGTCCCAGGTCTGCTATGTAATACTAAACAATTTACTCTATATCTCTGAGCTTCATTTCCCTCATTTGTAAAATGGGGATAACAATAATTCATCTCTCACAGGGTTGCTTGTGCTTGTAAATGAGATAATACATATAAAATTCTCAGTCAAGTTTTGGCAAATAATATTTTAAAATATTGATTATAACTATTTTTATTAGTACTACTAGCTACTGCAATCCTTTAAAACTTACTGTGCTTTAGTAAAAAGTCAACCTGGGATTCTCTGATTCAAGGAAACCTAATATTCTAGTAACCAAGCCTTATGCATTATTTTAAAAGCAAAGTTCCAACCTCTGCCGGTTGAGCCTCTTCAGCCTACTTCAGAAAGGTTATTCTCATCTGTTAACCCCCCCATTAGGGGTTTCAGTGCACAAAAGCATGCAGTGAGGCCACAGGAGAACACACAGGCATTTTAAGCTAAGATGGGAACAGTGGAACAATCTTTATTCTCACTTGATGAATCTGATGATATGTCTTCTAGACTTTTGGAAGGTATTTTCCTAGCAGCTCTCCTTTCCAAAGTTTTCAAAACAGGATTGGGTTCTTCTTCTGAACCTGTTGTAAGACAAAACCGATGAACACTGCACAATACCAAAATACACACACACACACACACACACACACACACACACACAACAACAACAACAACAACAACAACAACAAACCCTTACCAGCAAGTGGATATTGAAATGGTAGGTTGAAAAGAGACATTATGCTGTAAGACTCCCTACTTTTATTTACTCTAAGAAGCACTTACTTCACAGAATAAAATAAAATTTCTCCATGATTAGTATGCCTTTAAAAAAAAATAATTTTCCTGGTCAACAAATATTTGCAAACATAAATTGTATAGGAACAAGATTGCCACATTAATAGAAATATGATCTCTTAGTCGTTTACACCTCTATTTTAGGCACATGATTTGTTCAGTGCCAGACTTTGAATCTTCCCACTTAACATTCTAGCTTTTGAAGACAGCCATGAAATGATTTTAGGAGCATTAAAAGAATTAGCTGAAAGTCAAGGAAGGCAGTTTTCAGATGTTTAACATCTGTGCATAACTGAGTACACAGATAAGTGGGTTCTTCAGATCAATGGCTGTAGGCTTTCTGGGTTTCATGATCTAGTAAAATTTCCAATGTTGGGAAATACCATGGGATAGCAACACAGTTTAAAGTTGGGGGGATGGGTCCTATCATTAACTACTGCCCTTATTTTATAAAAGGGAAGATATTTTAGAACCAAAACAAAAAGGGCATAATTCAGAATAAGAACAGGCCTTAAATTAAATATATCTAACTTTACAAAAAGATTATTTAGACAGTCTTTAATTTTCTCTCTTTTTTTTAAGTCCTTAGTTTTTCTATTTTGACCAACTCCATCATAGATAAACCCTGGTCTGGGTACTAACATTTATCACTGTTGTATTCTCAGTGCCTAGAACAGTGGCCGGCAATAAGCACTTCAAAAATATTTGCTAAATCCATAAGTGACTTGATTAATGAATCAGTAAATTTAAGAACCTCTTCTCTAGACAGTAATTCCTGAAATGCATTCTAGTTCTGCCCAATGCATTCTACAGCAAATGGATTTCAAGATGAATTAGATTTGGAATAGTTTGTTCAAATTTAAAAGGTTTCTTACTTCAGACCTTCTCAGATTTTAAAAATAATAATTAAGTTAAAGTATATATAAGCATGCCTGCACTCTATCTTTACTTTTTTTTTTTTTTTTGAGTTGGAGTCTCACTCTGTCGCCCAGACTGGAGTGCAGTGGCCGCTCCCAGCCACCCCAGCCTCAACCTGTTGGGCTCCGGCGATCCTTCTGCCTCAGCCTTCCAAGTAGCTGGAACTACAGGCGTGCACTACCACACCCGGGTGATTTTTTGATTTATGTAGTGATGAGGTCTCGCCAAGTTGCCAAGGCGGGTCTTGAATCCTCAGGCTCAGGCAATCCACTCACCTCAGCCTCCCAAGGCGCGGGATTACAGGTTGAGCCACCAAGCCCGGCTTATCTTTACTTCTTAATTAGCTTATAATTCTAAAATATCTTGTCTAGGCTCTGTCTAGGTGATTATTTAATACTATTTTTTAGATATGTTTTTACTGTTCAATCAGTTATGCTGGTATACTATAAGCACGCCTATACACATTAGGTGACAGTCTCTAAAGTAAGTACAGATTTGAAAGTCTTCTTCCTCCTATGGGTCAGTTTATCCCAGTAATTTATGGGGCAGTTTAGGAAGAGTCTACGCCAACAAGTTTAAGGTGCTGGTTTTATTCTTAGGTAGGTCTGGTTTCAGAGACTGGGATTTCAATTTTTTTTTTTTTAAATCCCCAGTAACATCTGTTAAGGGATGTTCAACTTGACTAGAAAGGATTAAAGGTGGATTCTTTGGTCAATGTTCAAGAGACCCTACAGCTACTTGCAAAGGGACTCAGTCCTCAAAGCCAGCCAATCAGTAAAATTTATTTATTTTCATTATCCATTTTCACCGAGACTGAAGGGAGCTAGAAAATGACACATTTTATTAAACTACAAGGAAAGTGATCAACTCCAGTTGTGCAACTTTGGTTAAAATGTCCAGCTAGAATGCATTCTCTATCTTTTCATCACCCTAATTAGGTAACTGCTCATGCCTATTTGTTCTGAGGTTTCTCTGCTAAAATGCCCAAGTGTTGATCAGATAGCAAACTGAGACAAGCCCTATGTTTTATAGCCTAGCTGAAACCAGTGCCCCCACATCCACTTAGATGAATGTGAAGATTGATTAAGATCTTCATCAACTAAGTAAGGCTGGAGCCAAACAAAAGTAGCAGGCCAGGCAATGCTCATAGGTGGAATCAGGTGAAGTCATCTGACCAAAGTCATACTCTAGAAAGGAAAGACTCTGCAGATAATTGAAAATGAGAGGGAGAGAGTGGCAACAACAAAAATACCACAGCATAAGGTATCTGAGAGAAGGAAAGTTCCAGCCTTGTACTTTGTCCCTGGCATTTAGCCACCACTGTGGTAAAATATTGCTCCTAAATGGAAAATTTGTACCCATTTGTGGCACTTTCTAGCCACAAATCTTACTAGAGACGTCTATGAGGACTGCCAATTAAGAAAGAACTTTGAATTATTTCCAGGAGGAAAACTGGCTTAAGTGTTTTAAAGGTGCTTTCTAAGTCCAAAAAGTTATTTTAAAAATATTTTTGAAACCTGAAAATTCTATAGGTAGATTACTGGGAAGTAAGGTAGATTCTGAAACACAGTCTTATAATAAAACTGTTTCTATGTAACTCATTTGATTAATGCATATAAATAAAAAACTTTTTGTATTATTAAGAAAGGCTCAGAAGAACTGAAGTGATCAGAAGAATTTAGTACCATTTGGAAATATCAGATTAATCCCAATTTTTAAAAAAGCATCCTTTACAGTAGCATCCCATAAAGCAGACTCATCATGAGTTAAAAATTTCAAAGTGCTCACTGGAGGTATTTCTCCAACTTTCTGCATTAGAACCGGTGTTTCCATCTGAAAAATCAGAGTCAGAAAAGTCGCCTTTTTCTTCCTCTTTCTCTTGTCTCTTATATGGTGATGAAAGAATCAATTCAACTTTACTTATTTTTGTAGGGTTTTCTTTGTTCATCAGGAGAGGAATGGGTTGCCTATGTCTGGCCACACTAATTGCTTCGGGAGCTTCTTTAAAGTCAGGTTTTTTTAAGGCCCCTGGTCCCCCTGCAACCTCACTTTCATTATCCCTGACCTCTGAGGGTTTTATAGTTGTAATGGTTCCTATCTCATGATCCACATAAAGTTGTGGGGTTCCAGGGGTCTCAAACCCACTTTCAGAACCATGAAGATCTGCCAGTAAATCAGTCATAGCTTTGTCTCCACTCAACACTTTATCACATTGATTGACTTGAGATTCATTACTTTTAACCTTCACTTCAGAGGCCTCTGAGGCTGCCCAGTTAAAATGGGGCACTATCGCTGAGAACCTGGCCTGCTCTGACTGTGAGGGCTCTTTCTTAGGAGTTTCTTCCTTCACTAACACTTGGAGCTGACAAGGAGCTTCAGATGTTTCTTTAATAAGCTTCTCAAAACCAATATCAAAAGCACTCTCAGTTTTTGATGGTGCCTCAGCCTTTTCTACTGTTTCTTTTATTTCCTCAGGATGGAATTCAGAAGCAGCTTGCCTGGGTTCTTCTACACTACCTATTAACTTTGGTGGAGAAAGAGTCCCTGTATCACTTTGATATTTTGAGGGGGAGGTTTCAGTAGTTTTCTTCAGTAGTCTTTCTAAGTTAGCACTGAATTCGAGGAACTCTGATTTGGGTTGAATAATCGTTTTCCTCACAGTTTCTACTACTTCCTGAGGTAGCTCTTTTCTGAACTGAGCAACAGTGAAACCAGATGAGTTAAAGGTTTGGTGTGATGGAGACGCTTGGGCAGCTAAATAAGATCTAGCTTCAAGACTTTTATCAGGAATTACGTTGAAGGAAAAAAAATCCTTCCTGTCTGGAACCACGGAGTCCATTCTAGCCCCTGGTGGAACTACTCCCAGAGGATCCCGGGGACTACCTGCTGCCTGTCCTCCTTCAGGAAATTCTGGTTTCACTTCTCCAGGACCTACTTCCCTCCCAGCTGGATAACTAAACCAAGCTTCTCTACGCAGCTTCAGTAATGCAGCATTTACATCATTCAATGCAGGTTTTGGAGGGAGAATGACTTTTTCTATAGTCTCTGAAATTTCCCTTAGAGAAGGCAATGTCCTATTCTGGGGTGCAAGATGTGCATCCTGGGAAAAAAGCAAATCTTGGTGAGGGTTGGTCACCTCCCCAGAAGAACCTTTTATGCAAAGATGGGAAGGCTGATTCAAGGGGTGAGATTCTTCTGCAGCCATCTGAAGCAAGTTCTCCGGGTTTAGCTGACACTCACCACTTTCAGCTTTCTGGGGGAGAGTTGTATTTCCCAAAGTCTCATCTCCCTCTACAAAAGGAGCTGTCATCTCTCTCTGATAGGCTGAAATGTTGTGACTCTGTCCTACCCCTTTTTCAAAAACTCTACTTTCTTCAGGCTCAGAGTTGGTTCTAGTGGTAATGAGTTCCAACTCAGTTTGCAAAGGAGAGGGTGAAGTTCCACTTGCTTCCTTCAGGAGTTTGTCTAGACCAGCAGTCAAAGAGTTCAGTTTAACCTTTGGAGGAGCTACTGTTTTGTCTACATGCTCATTAATGATCTTCTTAGATCCTTTGACTTCTTCCTCAGTATCAGCAAAATCTGTTTTTTGAGGCCATGTCCTATCTTCAGAAATACCTGGTTTGAGCATTTGTTTTCCATGAACTTTTCTACCAGAAGGTTGAATTGCTGGTGAGGAAGCTTCTGCAAGCAGCTTCTGTAAGCTGTTGTTAAAAGTGTCTATATAGTCTTTAGGTAAAACACTTGTTTTCGCTATGTATTCTTGAACCTCTTGTCCTGAGTAATCCCTTTCTTCCTTAAACAATGGAGTAATAAACCATTCCATATTCTTTTCCATGTTTTCTTTTGATGACTCATTTCCTGGCAACTGATGAATGGACTTCCTGGGTGGCCTGGATGGAAATATGGTTTCATCTGGTAGCACCTGGGGTATGCACTTTGAATTTAACTTCTCTATTTCCTCCTCTCTTGCCATAACTTTTTTTTGGCTTGGACGTGCTCCATCTTCATGGGTATCTTTTCCTGGTAATTTAGTGTCGATGAATTCCTTGTGTTTCTGGCTATTAAAAGGCACAGAATTTCTTTGGCTTGTGGTAGTATTCCTCTCACCATTGTCCTTACTGTTTGAATTAGCTTCTGAGTCCCAAAACTTTCTCAGGTTCTCAAACTGAGAGTGATTATACACCTGTTGTGCACTGGGTTCATCCATTCTTTCTTTCAGGGACATGACTTTAAAGTTGGCGTTTGATTCACCAACTGGAGGTCTGTCTTTTTCCAAAGGAGTATGCATTTCATTCTCAATATTTGGTGGATGTCGAAGTGCTGGGAAAGTAATGTCTCTTTGAGAATGCAAATCGTCTGCTATTGGCAATCTTTTTATAGACTCATTTTTCTTATTCTGAAACAGAGATGCTTTACCTAACTGGTCACTTGATGGATAGTTTTTGGATGGACCTGCTATTTGGGACCTTAACTCTTTAGGTTGATTTGTGGAATAAAAACTGGAGAGTTGAGGAGCTTGATCATCCTCATCTAGGACCACACGTTTGGCAGTGACCTTATTATATTCACTCTGACCTGTAAACAAACTGTCCATGGACATACCCTGTGACTTCACAGGCTGATATGCTTTAGCAGATTGTTCCTGACTGCATGATAATGTGGGTTCCTTATGAGTTAACTTAGCAGCAGCTTTCTCTCCTTCCCAAAAGGATATTCTGTCACTCACTCTTTTGTATTTCTCTCTTTGCACTTGGTTCTTGGCATCCTCGCCAGCTTCTTGTTGTAGTTGGACCTTGGGCTTCTTCCAAGGAGATCCATCATTGGCAACCCCATTTGGTGACTCAGTATTCTCTGGCTCTAAGGAAGTCTTCAGGACGCAAATATTTCCTGCTTTGCTCTTTCGCTCTGCTTTCATGCTGTCTTTCAAACTTGTTTCTTTGACGACTGTTAAAGAATCAAAATTAACTTCTGAGTTTCTTCTGTTTTTTTCATGGACATGAAACTTGGGTTCTTCTTCACCCAAGCTGCCAATATATTTAGTGTTGCATGGAACTTGGTCTTCTGCATCAGATCCCTTAAGAACACTGTAGAAATAGTTACTGTTTGCAGAAGGTACCCAATTTCCTTCTATGCTTTCTGAATCTTTGCTATTGTTCATATTTTTACTCCCTTGACTTGGAGTACCATTGCTTTCAAATGGTTGCAATATGTCCGGACCTGCCTTTGGGGTGCCTTTTTGGGACAAATTCATAGATTTGAATTTGATATTCACATCATTATCTTGGCAACTTCCAGAAAGCAGCGTATCTCCCTCTACCTGGAGTGCTGGATCAGCTCTCACAGGCTTCAATTCAATTTTGGTGGACGATAGGGCTTCTGAACCATTTTCTTTATGACTGGTGTCATCTGTCACCAAGCCAACAGCAATTTGTGATTTTGAGTCTGTTTTTTCTTTGGACTCTACTTCTCTGGGATGTTGGAGGAATGACTTCTTGTTATCTGAATGAGAACTTCGGTTAAACCAATCTAGGACTTTAGATATGGAATCATCAGTTGTCTTCTTTGTCTCAGTGGCATATGGACCAGAGCGTGAGGATATCTTAGCTTTTAGAGCTGGGAGAGGAGGGGGCTTACCTTGCTGATGGTCTCTAGAACTGCAGTCTGGCACCTGAGATGGCTCAGGCTTAACACGAGACTGTTCATCTGCAACATAGAAATGCTTTTCTAAATAAGAAAAGACCTTGCTTAAATAACTGTTATTCAATATCACTCATATCATTTTTTAAAAAGCCACTTTGTATTTGTACTTTTTTTTTTTTTGAGTTGGAGTCTCACGCTGTCACCCAGGCACACTCACAGTCACCTCAGTGTCAGCCTGCTGGGCTCCGGTGTATTTGTACTTTCTATACCACTAGCTATTTATACCAGCATTTTTCAGGAGTTATAATTAAGTCTTCCTAATTGAGGTATTCTGCCAAATAGGCCTTATGACAGTAAAGGAAGGTAAATGTAAACCCCTAGGCTGAAGTATGGGGTAGAGACCCGGTTTATCTTTTAAATTCATGAAAATGTTGCATTCTGCTCCGTGTTACATTTTAAATATTAATTTTTTCCTACTCTCAAATCTTTGCATACAACTGACACTCCAGGAAGATACACCATGTTGATTTTTTAACTTTACCCATCTCCTGGCACACTGCCATAAACCCTAGAAGGGGCCTATACCCAAGTTAGAGGAGCACAGACTTAAGAGATTTCAGGAGTTAGAAAAACAACTTTCAAGTAAAACTAAACAAAGAATTCCCTCCACATTTGAAAGGGATATTGAGAATATTTGCATTCCTGGGCCTTATCCCTGATATTCTGAACTAGGATGTCTAAAGATGGGGCCCAGGAATTTTTACTACCAGCTAACCTAGTGATTGTTTTTCATACCACAGTTTAAGAACCAAGATCTCAACAGGCCCTTCCACAGGTCCCTCCCATTTCTTCTCTATCATTTGGAAGTTAAAATTATTTCTGAAAGCCAAATAAACTAAAATGAGGATTGATGGAAAATGTTATCTCTACCTGTTCCCTGTTGTTGACTAACCAATGGCAAGAAGGATATTTAAGTTCTTTGTAAGCCTATCAAGAAAGCAGAGAGAGTCTTTCCTAAGCCTTAACCACAGTTCATATAGTACATTTGGATAAGGGAAATCAGGCATTTCCTTAATTAAGAGTCATTAGGCATTTAATTAAGACCCTTTAGTTAAGGATTAAATGTTTCATACTTTCTCCTTTTCCTGAAAAATGCTGAGCTATACATGTGATGGAGATGTTCCTAAAAATTGTGTGAGCTTATTGTTCAGGAAGTCAGTCACATTTCAAATATACTAGGGGACATGTCAGTTAATAACATTCTATCTTTAATTTTAATCATCAACTTTGGCTATATGTGAAAACCATAGCCCGGAGCAGTGGCTCACGCCTATAATCCCAGCACTTTGAGAGGCTGAGGTGAGAGGATTGCCTGAGCTCACAGGTTTGAGATCAGCCTGGGCAATTTGGCTCATCTCCACAATAAATAAAATTAGCTGGGTGTGGTAGTGCGTGCCTGTGATTCCCGCTACTTGGAAGGCTGAGACAGAAGGATTGCCTGAGCCCAGCAGGTCAAGGCTGTGGTGGCCGTGAGCATGCCACTGCACTCCAGCCTGGGCAACAGAGTGACACTCCTAGTTAAAAGAAAAAAGAAAACCATAAAGGGTTTGTACCATAATTGGCACATAGTGAATACCGATTTCCTTCCTTAAGTACATATAGTACCATTAAATATATGTCAATAATTGTGAAGTTCCTTTAAGAAATCTTGAAGATTTATTTTAGTCTGTTACAAACTATTTAATGGTGATGAAAAAATGTTTGTGATACACTGTTAGTAAAAAAAAGAAGTCTGGGTGGTATAAACACAATTTATAAATTATATTCATGCCTAAAATTATTGGAAGACTCTATAACTAAATGTTAGCAATAGTTAATACTGGGATGATATCACAGATCAGATTTTTAATTCTGTGTGTATTTCTTCTTAAATGTTTTACAGTGAAAGTTATTAGTTTTAAAATAACAACATTTATTTTTAAAATTCAGTGCCAGGTAATGGTTTGTTTCCTCTGAGGAATTATTTTGTTTTTTTCCAGTATGATAATGAACTTGATATTGACTGTCCTGAAGTTCAGCACTAACGTCAAACCTTTATGATGCACACACACAGATAGATTTTTACCAGTTTTTTGGTTCTAATTTTCTTTTTATGTTCCAGTATTTACTTACATATATTTTTTGATAAGCAAAAATGGAAAAAGCACAGCATTAAAGAGTAAGCAGAACTTTCTTTGTAAGCACTCTCTGAGACTAGAAAGTTTATAAGTCAATCAAAATGGGTTTGGCTGTTAATATTTTCTTCCCAAATGTAATAGCTCGTTGGGATATAAAAATCTGAAAACACACAAATAAGTGAATGAAAAATTATAAGCTATTCTGTAAGAAAGCAGGTACAGTTTCAAAAACAGGAAAGGCCTACCAAATTGTTTATATCAGTTATAATAAAGGGAAAAATATCAAATAATTTTATGAATAAATATCATGTAATTATTTTCTAATGTTTAGTCAAGCATTGGTAATTTCTTTTCATCTGAGTTTATTTCTTTAAAAAGCACATACTAATTTTTAATTCTTAAAAAATGTTCTGTCATATTCAAAAAATGTCTGGTGGGGCAGGGACGAGAATGTGCTTTGTCTTTTAAGAAGTGGATAGATCTGAACGTGGATGAAACTGTGGGGTTGAGCAAAAGTGACTCAGGGTTAACCTAATACTGACTCATAAGGGAAAAGGAGAGCAACTGAGTCAGAAATGTGATTGTTGCTATTGTAAGTTTTCCTGACTGAAAAGAAATTATCATACTGGATGCAGATTTATTGAAGATGGCAGAGTACACACATGATTTTTCCCATTGTTTCTGCTTTTTAAAACCTAAGAAATTATAATTATGAAACATTATGATTACTTTATAATCATATAGGTATCAGAAACTAGTTTGAGGTATCACATGAGAATGGTAAGACTTTCAAGACACGGTTAATTAGCAGAAAAAAACAGTAACTTCATTGCCTCTCAACTCATAGCAACTAAAGGAGAATATCTAGGCTAAGAAGGTTCAAGGCTAAGAAGGTTCTCGTGAGATTGCTAGGGAAAGCAAAATTTGCTAAAATGATAACTAATAAATGTGCATTGGATGAGTAATAACATATTTAACCTGTACAAAGGTATTAGCATTTCTTTAGTTTTTACCCTAAATACCTTGGTTTAACTAACAACATTGCCATTTGTTCAAATAATTGATATTTAGCATAATGTGCCAGAAATCGTGCTACCCTGGTTCTTTTAATTACTGGTGACTGAGGAAAACCCCCAAATCCATTAAAAGATATAAGCATTCCCTAGTGACATCTTTCTGAATTCTAGCTGGAATGCCTAGAAGGAAAAATTGAGCTTCTTTGGGAGTAGCCGGCCTGACCATCCCAGGCCCACCGGGTCAATTTTAATAACCTGGCAGTAACAACTCTCTTACCAGCAGAGGTTTTGGGCAATTCTGATTCAAGCCTTGTTAATTCTGATGGTTTAGCTTTCTGGTCATTGGCGGTAAGGGAATTCTCAATGGACTGTGGTCTTGC